AAGAATTTTCTTTTTTTTTTAATAATTAAATTTCTCCAAAATTGAATTTTTTAAGTGTTTTCAACAAAAATTTAAATTAGAAAATTTTTAAAATTGCTAATTTTATTTAAAAAAAAGGCAGCAAGAAGTTAGCCGCGCGAATTGTTGCTAGTAATAAATTAATTAAGTTTAAATAAATTTGATAAAAATACTAAAAATGATAAAAACTTAATAATAATAATAATATATTAAAACGAGAATAAAAATCCAAAAAAGAAATTGAGCCAATTTTCCCAAAATTGATTTTCACTTACGTAAGACACTGAACTCCAAGTGGAATCCCTTATGTATTATTGTAAAAGCTTCATGTTCGTAGATACATGTATATATCAATTTATAATATTTCCAATGCGCTTGAACGTTCGAGAAAATTTCACGCTAACACAATTACTTTTCTAATCTTACTTTCTATATTTAATTATTTGACAAACAAGACCTGGCGCAAATATGACAAGAAATCTAGTTCAAGAAGCTATATAACATAGTTTTTTAATTAAACTCCCGTGTTTTCCATACTTTACCGCATGTCAAAAAATAAAAAAATGAAGAAAAAAAAGTTTTCAATTATGTGAAAAAAGAAAAAATATTCGAAAGTTAATTAACGCGAAAGCTCAAGTTCATAAATAATTATTATCAAAAGGGGTAATTTAAATGTGAATTAAACTTAATTAACAATTTAATTCTACAAAAAGCCATTATTAGTGATGGAATATATAAATAGGTGTGACTAAAAACGGGACTGAAGCCTAAAATTATATTATTATAACTGCAGAAAAAAAGGGGTGGAAAAAACAAAGTCGTTTGCAAATTGAAGTACACGTTTACGTGAGAGCGATCCATTGAGCACTCCATTAATGCAAATCACACCTGGGGGAGAATTTTTTTTTCGAAAAGAATTTAAGAAAAGTATTTTCAAAATTTTCCCCTCCCTTTTCGATTTTGCAATTTTTATTCAAATTAATAAACCTTTATTATTAAATTTTATTTATTTATTATTAAATTTTAGTTATTTATTATTAAATTTTATTTATTTATTATTAAATTAGTAAAAATATGTTTACTAATTCAAATTAGTAAACATTTTTAGTTTTTACTAATTATTCGAATTTAGAGAGTAGGAAAAAAATTTTTTTCTCTTTCAAAAAACATGAAGAAGTAAATTATAAAATTTGAATTTAAATTTTCAAAAACAAAAAGAAATATTGTTTAATATTCAAAGTGAAAACATTTATTGTCAATTTAATTATTTGCACATGTCCGCGGGGAATTTTTGTATTAATTAAAACCTTTTATAATAAAAAGCCCATAAACTTTAATCTTTTACTGAAGTCAGTGAAGTGCATTCATAGCCACAAAATATCGTGCTATGTGAGATTCAAACATTGGACGGGGGTAAAAAAAAAACGTTATGATCGCTTTTAATTAAAAAAATGCATATTTTACCACAGACTTACAAGCCATTAAAAAAAATTCGATTGAAGTGGAATTGAAAATAAAAATTTTAATTAACAAAATGAAAAGTGCAAATCGAATTGCCTTTATTTAATTTTAAGCAATTAAAATTGTCTTTAATTTTTTATTTTGTAATTTCTAATCTTCCTTCATTTTTAGAAATTAAATTGTCTGCGCAATTTTTACAGAAATAAAGTTGTCTTTAATTTTAAACAATTAAATTATCTTTAATTTTCATCAACTAAATTGTCTTTGTTTTTAAACAATTAAATTTTGTTTTTCCTTTATAATAGATAATTAGACCCTTAAGTTCTGACCGTTCAAACGAAAGAAATTTATTTCTATTTCAAATTCAAATTTTAATTTTCTCTAATGTTTCGATTGTTCAAATCGTTCGAATAAGCGAAAAATTTTTTCTGTTTAAATATAATTCTTCTGAAGAATTCAATTATTTTCATAAACAATAACAATATTCTTCTGAAGAATTCAATTATTTTTATAAAATAGAAAAATTTCTTGCAAAAATTCAATTATTTTCAACAAAATTTTAATAAAATTCCACAAAAGAATTCAATTAATTTTTTTTTTTAATAAAATCTTTGCAAAAATTCAATTACTTTTAATACAATTTTAATAAAATTTCATAAAAAATTCAGTTTTTTAAAATTTCAATAATATTTTTCGAAAAAATTCAATTATTTTCTAAAATTTTAATAAATCCTTCGAAACAATACATTTTTTTTTAAATTTTTAATAAAATTATACGAAAGAATCCAAATTATTTCTTTGAAAGAATTTAATTATTTTCTATATTTCAATAAAATTCCTTGAAGGAATTAAATTATTTTAGAATATTGTAATAAAATTCATCGAATCAACTCGATTATTTTTATAAATAAGAAAATTCTTCGCAATAATTAAAATATTTTCATAAATAAGAAAATTCTTCTCAAGAATTAAAATATTTTCACAAATAATAAAATTCTTCGAAGGAATTCAATTATTTTTATAAATAATAAAATTCTTCGAAGAAATTTAATTATTTTCATAAATAATTAAAATGTTTCGGAGGAATTCAATCATTTTTAATATAATTTTAATAAAATTTCTCGACAGAATTCAATTATTTTTGTAAATAATAAAATATTTCTGAGAAATTCAATTATTTTCAAAACAATTTTAATAAAATTTCTAGAAAAGAATTGAATTATATTCAAGATAATTTCAATAAAATTTCTCTAACAGGTTCAATTTATTATTTTTAAAAATTGTAATAAAATTTTTCTAAACAATTCAATTATTGTTCTCAAAAGTTTTTAATAAAATTTTTTGTAAATTTTAATTATTTTCGAAATTTTCAATTAACATTTTTTGAAAAAATTACATTATTTTTACGAAATTTAATCAAATTCTTCAAAATAAAAAAAAAATTATTTTTATTTTATTTTAAAAACTTAAAAGAAATTCTTTATAAAATTCAATTACTTTCAAAAATGTCAGTAAAAATTTATCTAAGAAATCTCCATTATTTAAAAGAAAATTGAAATAAATTCTTCAAAACAATTCAATTATTTTAAAGAATTTAAATTAGAATACTAAAAAATTTTTTTTTTTTTGAAAATTCTAAAAAATAAGATTTTTGAAATTTTTTAATTCCATTGTTTCAAGATAATTGAATTTTTATAAACAAATAATTGAAAATTTTTGAAATAATTGTAATTTCTTTACATTTTATTAAAAATAATTAAATTTTTTTAAAGAATTTTATTTAAATTTTTCGAAAATAATCAAGGAAAGTTAGTCACCGTAATTATAATTTTATTTTTAAAAATTTCTTCGCAATATACATTCAATTATTTCTAGAAGTAGCAAAATTCTTCAGATTTACTAAATTCTTTTGAATATTATTTTTTTAAAAAAAATTCTTAACAATAATTCAATTATTTTCATAAATTTCCATAAAATTCTAAAAAAACAATTTAATTATTTTCAAAGTAATAAAATTTTTTGCAGAAATTCAAATATGTTTAAACATTTTTTTTAATTCTCCTCAAAATTTCAATTATCTTTATAAATAAATAAATTGTTCTTCACAATTCAATTATTATCAAAAATTTTAATAAAATTCTTCGCTAGAATTCAATTATTTTCATAAATAATAACATTCTTTGGAAGGATTCAATTATTTTTAATTTTTTATAAATAGTAAAATTCTTTGCAGAAATTCAATGAGTTGATACTCATTAATAATTTGATACATTTTAATAAAATTGAATTAATTAAATTTTCAATTATAATTATGAACAGAAAAGATTATTTTAAAAAATTGAAAAAATTCTTTGTTTAATTCAATTATTTTTCAAATATTTTTAGTTAAAATTATTTTTAAAAAAATTATTTTCGAAAAATTTAAAGAAACTCGTCAAACGAATTTAATTATTCATAGAAACTCTAATAAAAATTTTTGAAGCCATTTGTAGATTTATTTATGTTCGAAATCAAATAGATTTTTCTAAATTTTTATGAGAAAAAAAAATCGGGAAAAATTAGGACCGGGAATTTTGTTGAATGAAAATAGTAGACGCTCTGTATTAATATCAAATGATTTTTTAAGTGCAAAAAGTTTGTAAAATCTTAATTTCTATAGAAAAAGTCAAAAAATTATGTCTGGAAATTAGGGAAAAATAAGATGACAATTTTTTTTATCAACCCTGCACTGGAAAAAAAATTTATTTGATTCAAATAACCAATTAATTAACTATTATCAATTAAATATTTACTTGAATCAAGTAATATTTATTGGAGTCAATTAAATGATATTTGAGCGAATAATTTTAGCATTTAAAGCAAATATGAATTGAACCATTTAATTGACTCCAATAAATATTATTTGATTCAAGTAAATATTTAATTTTTAATATTTATTTGATTCAAATAACCGGCTAATTGACTATTATCAATTAAATATTTACTTGAATCAAGTAATATTTATTGGAGTCAATTAAATGGTATTTGAGCGAATAATTTTAGTATTTAAAGCAAATATGAATTGAGCCATTTAATTCACTTCAATAAATATTATTTGATTCAATTTAATATTTAATTGAATCAAATAATTTTTTTTTTTTCATTGTGAATGAACAATAAAAATATTATCGTTTTTTTGAGTGTTGAATATTTTTTTGAGTATGTAAAAGGTTCAATGAGCGAAAATGACATTGAAAAGTTTGAAGAATGCGAAAAAATTGTGCCCATTGTTGCAATAATTAGTCGAATTGAGTGGGAGAGAGAGAGAGAGTAATAAAGTGTATCGAATTGAAAATGATTGCATTTAAGAGAGTAGTTAATGGGATGACGTATGGATGGATCGCTTTCACGTAATGTTCCAATTCCACACGACCCGACCCATCTACTTAGCAGCAACCAAACCACCCTCCGGCTCCGGCAAGCATCCACTCGACGAGACTCGTTCACCCGCAAGCACTCTTTTCTTTTCGTTTCTGTTTCAGTTCTAAAATGTCTCCGACTCTCGTCAGACCCTGTCACGCTGAAGCTACGAAGGGGTGAGTGAGCTCTCTGTACTCTTCGTCTGTCTTTTATTTCTCTTTTCACCTTAGGTAGGTACGCACACAAGGACGGTCTCGTTGAAACGAAAGTGCACTCATCGCTTTCCCATCATCTATTTTCCAAAATACATCTATATTCACTGGCAAAGTTTTCAGAGATAATTCAGCTCAAGATGCTATTCATTTGTTCAATGAGGAATTCAAACGAATCTTTTAAATTTGTTTTAAATACTTGTGGTATTTTAATAAATTTATGGAATATAAGTCGAGTTTTTCTTTTTTCTTTTTTTATAGAAATTTGTCGAGAAGTTGATATTTTTTAATGAATATTGAAATTCTTTTTATTTTGAGATTTTAATATTGTATTTGAAGAACTCTTAAGTCAAATTTATTATTCTTTATTGAGATTTAATATTTTAGCAGTAAAATTAGTATTTTTTTTTATTTCTTAGCAGAAAAAATAGTATTTTTCTATTTTCTTTTTACATTTCTAAAAAATAAATTAGTATTATTTTCTTAGTAAAGAAATTAGTATTTTTTTTTATTTCTTAGCAGAAAAAATAGTATTTTTCTATTTTCTTTTTACATTTCTAAAAAAATAAATTAGTATTATTTTCTTAGTAAAGAAATTAGTATTCTTCTGTTTCTTAGTAGAAAAATTTGTATTTTTATTTTTTAGCAGTAAATTAGTATTTTTTTATTTCTTCGTAAATTAATTTAGTATTTTTCTATTACTTCGTAAATTAAATTAGTGTTTTATTATTTCTTAAATGAAAAAAATTAGTAATATTCTATTTTTTAGTAAGAAATTTACTACTTTTCCATTCCTAGAAAAAAATTAGTATTATTTTCTTAGTAAAGAAATTAGTATTCTTCCGTTTTTTAGTAGGAAAAATTATAATATTTTATTTCTTGGCAATAAAATTAGAATTTTTATATTTTCTAGTAAAAAATTTAATTCTTTTCCATTTATAAATAGAAAAATTTACTAATTTAAAAATTTACTAATTTAAAAATTTACTAATCTTAGTATGAAAATTAGTATTTCTTTAATCCTCAGTATAACAATTAGTATTTCTTTATTTTTTAAAAGAAAAATTAGTATTTTTCTATTTTCTAGTAAGAAATTTAATACTTTTCTATTTCTAAAACATAAATTAGTATTATTTTCTTAGTAAAGAAATTAGTATTCTTCTGTTACTCAGTAGAAAAATTAGTATTTTTATTTCTTAGCAGTAAAATTAGTATTTTTTAATTTCTTCGCAAATTAATTTAGTATTTTTCTATTTCTTCGTAAATTAATTTAGTATTTTATTATTTCTTAAAAGAAAAATTAGTATTTTTCTATTTTCTAGTAAGAAATTTAATACTTTTCTATTTCAAAAAAATAAATTAGTATTATTTTCTTAGTAAACAAATTAGTATTCTTCCGTTTTTTAGTAGAAAAAATTAGAATTTTTTATTTCTTGACAATAAAATAAGTATGTTTCTATTTTCTAGTGAAAAATTTAATTATTCTCCATTTATAAAAAGGAAAATTAGTACTTTTCTATATCTTAGTATGAAAATTAGTATTTTTTTTAATCCTTAGTATAACAATTAATATTTCTTTATTTCTTACAAATAAATAAGTATTTTTTTATTTCCTAGTAAGAAATTTTATACTTCTCTATTTCTAAAAAATAAATTAGTATTATTTTCTTAGTAAATAAATTAGTATTCTTCCGTTTCTTAGTAGGAAAAATTAGAATTTTTTATTTCTAGAAATAAAATTAGTATTTTTTATTTTCTAGTAAGAAATTTAATACTTTTCTATTTCTAAAAAATAAATTAGTAATATTTCCTTAGTAAAGAAATTAGTATTCTTCCGTTTCTTAGTAGGAAAAATTAGAATTTTTTATTTATTGACAATAAAATTAGTATTTTTTATTTTCTAGTAAAAAATTTAATACTTTTCTATTTCTAAAAAATAAATTAGTATTTTTCTATATCATAGTATAAAAATTAGTATTTTTTTAATCCTTAGTATAACAATTAGTATTTCTTTATTTCTTAGAAAAAAATTAGTATTTTTCTATTTTCTTGTAAGAAATTTAATATTTTTCCATTTCAAAAAAAAGTAATTAGTATTTTTCTATATCTCAGTAAGAAAATTAATTATTTTTTATTTCTTAGAAAAAAATTAGTATTTTTCTATTTTCTTGTAAGAAATTTAATACTTTTCCATTTTCAAAAAAAGTAATTAGTATTTTTCTATATCTCAGTAAGAAAATTAATTTTTTTTTATTTCGTAGTACAAAAATTAGTAATTTTCTAGTAAGGAATTTTATACTTTTCCGTTTCTAATAATTAAATTAGTATTATTTTCTTAGCATAGAAATTAGTATTTTTCTGTTTCATAGTAGAAAAATTAATATTTTTTATATCTTGGCAGTAAAATTAGTATATTTCTATTGTCTAGTAAGAAATTTAATACTTTTCCACAAAAGTATTCTTTCATTTTTTTAGTAGAATAAATGAGTAATTTTTAATTTTTTTAATATTAAAATTAGTATTATTTTGTTTTTAAGCAGGATTTTCAGTGTTTTTTAGTTTTTAATAAGAAAATTAGTATTGTTTTATGTTCTTTGCAGTAAAAAAGAATAAAGAAGCACAAAATTATTGTTATTTTATGTTTAGGTGATTAATTGAATAAAAGCAGAATAGAAAATTCAAAATATTAGTATTTTTTTATTTTCTACCAAAAAAATTAGTATTTTTTTAGCTCATAGTAAAAAAATTGAATATAAATGCAATAAAAGAATATAAATTACTATTTTTTTTATTTCTCTGTAGTAAATTAGTATTTTTTGATTTTATACTAACAAATAGAATAAGAAGGGAATAAAAAACACAACTTATTAGTATTCTTCTATTTCTCAGTAAGAAAATGAGCCTTTTTTCATTTCTTAATATAAAATTCTTCTTTTCCCCTCAAATTTGAAAAAATTGATTAAAGAATTATTTTTATCTTCCATTTGTGAAATGAATTTTTTTTCTTTTTTTTCGATAAATGTGGCACTTGATTCGTTTGACGTAGCCATCCTTTAAACATTCAGACATGATGATTAAATCTAGTTTCTTGTTTTTAGATCCAGCCATCAAGGCGCACATACGACGTTTATTGTGCTCGGGTCAGGCGGTGTGCGAGGATACTGAAAGTTTAAAAGCCTTTCGAGCAGGAATTGAAAACAACTCGAGGAACCGATCCACGAATTGTGACGAGAGAAGTGCTAAAAATTCGGAATTAACTGAATTGTCGATAAGTCTTCCCCAGAATCCCACTGGAGTTCAACAACAACAAAATGCTGTTAGAAGTAATGGATCATGCAGTGACGCTTCTGGATCATCGGAAATGGATGTTGTTATTCCTCAATTTGACAATTTTAAGGAAGAGGAACGTGCTCAATGGGAACCATTGTCCGGCGACAAGTTTGGTCGACAGAAAAATACACCCAGGTGTGTATAAATTATTTTTGTATTGTAATTTTTTGATTAGAGGAATTCAATAGAGAGGAATTACAATTAAAATAGAATCGGTCAGAAAATATTTTGACATGTTTTAAATTTTTATTTTCCCTAAAAAAATTTTCAGATTTGAAAATCTTTGCGTTATTTTGTATAAAATATGTTTTTGTATAAAAAAAATTGGCGAATGAAAAAATTGATTTTTACTATTTTTGAACCATTTTCTTTTTTTTAAAAAAAATATTGTTCTTAAAATAAAAATGCTAAAAAGTACAAATTCAATTTTTGTAATTTAAAATTTATTTGTATATTTTTGTGACTAATTTCAAATCATAATTTTATCAGAATTTTTTTTTATGTATTATAAAATGGAATTTTGAATAAACATAAATTTGTTTATTTTTGAAAAACAAACAAATGATTTTTTAAATAAAAGAATTAAATAACAATGGAATTTTTGCATTTTCAATCTAAAAAAAAGGTTTTTTTCTACAAAAGAATACTTCAAAAATAGTAAAAAATAAATTTTTTTATTCAGCAAGTTATTTGTGGATTTAGAGTTTTTTCTTGTTTTTTCTTATGTATAAGAAAAATATAGAGTTTGAATGTAAAGTAAGAATATTGAATAACAATATAGAGTTTGAATGTAAAGTAAGAATATCGAATAAGAATATAGAGTAAGAATATAGTTAGTAAGTATGATAAATGAATAACAGAAGAATTTTGATTTTAAATTCAGGTTCGAGGCCTACATGATGACCGGGGATTTGATGTTGAACCTATCGAGAACGCAGCAAAGCAGTTGCCTTTTGCCAAAGTATCAGAAAAAAGTGGATTCATTGAGATACAATAATCATCACATACATCACCGACACAATCATCACAATCACCATCATCATCATCATCATCATCACAATTCCGTGCCGACGAGTCCAAACGAAATACTCGGGCATCATCGAGCCTACAAGGTGACTGGCTCGAATTCCGCAACTACCTCACCAGTGGGTACTGCAAGACGCGAGGGCACACAATGCTCTCCAGCCTGTGAAAATAAAGCCAATGCAAATTTTGGTTATTCAAGTGGATTCGTGAGAACTTCGAGATCCGAGGATCATTTGCAATTTCAAAAGGATCCATCCATGAGCGCAGTGGATATCGATATTGACGACGACGTCACCTCCAGCCTAAATACTCTTCTCGACACACGACCAGAAAGTGGTCAAGCACTCTCAAGCGAGAGAATTGTTTGGACCTACAATGCACCAGTCAGCTCGCCCTCCGTCTCGGAGAGAACGTCCTGCTGTCGAAATGGCAATTCACCTCCACAGTCCTCCAGTAGTAGTTCCTCGACCGAGGGCACGAGTCCTCAACGCTCACTATCGCCGGCATCGCCGACCTCCGTCTCCTCATCAGTCATGTCCTCCAATTCTGGCTCGCGCAGATTCCCCCTGCCAATAATGCCGGGCGCTCAACTTGGACCCTCGGGCGAGGGCACATCGCCGGGAGGCCTACATCCCACCAATGGCGATCTCAGCCAATCGGAGGCCATTAGCAATATGTCCAGTCCCGATTACAATGACGAGGAGACAATGGACATTCTTAGTTCACGTGATATTATGATGGTTAGTGATCCTAGTGATAGTGACTCGACAATCCTTGCCAGTGAACCACCGCAGAGGAGGCGTAAGAGCGGAAGTTACAGCGCCAGTCAGGATTCGAGTGAGCATCGAATAGTCATTCAAGTCAAGGGTCCCGACAAGGACAATGCGAGGAACTCAAGTCCAAGACAGAATAAACGTAATACTCAGAATTCGGATAATCCACATGTTTATCAACAGAATCAACGCTTGCCTACTGCAATTGATAATTGCAATGCCTCAACTGGTTCCACTGGATACCAGGTAACATTCAATTAAAAATAATAAATTTATTAAGAGTCTTAATTTTGACAAGAAGTCAGTGAAAGATTCAGGAAAAAGGCAGGAAAATATTGAAGAAGGTCAGACAAATGGCAGAGAATTTTTTGTGTTTTTTGTTTTTTGTATTAATTAAATAATAGAATAGGCAGAGAATTTTGTTCCAAAAGTACTGGAAAAATATCAAATTTCTATGATACAGGACAAAAAATCCAAACCAAAAATTCCAGACCGTAAAATTTAAGAAAAAAAGTCCACAGTACAAAAAATCCAAAATAAAAATATCAAAAACGTCCAAAATAAATATTGAAACTTGTAAAAAAGCCACACTTTTTACGCTATAAAATCGGAATTGAAAATGATAATTTTTCAAAATCGCAGGATTTTAATTATTTACATACCTATAAATAATACAATTCTTCAGAAGAATTCAATTATTTTCAAAATTTTTTTTAAATTCTTCACAAAAATTCAATAATTTTCATAAATAATAAAAATTTCTAGAAAAATCTAAACTTTATAATTCTTTAAAATTTTTCAAACAATTATTTTCTCAACAATTTTGATAAAATTCTTTACAAAAATTCAATTACTTTTTTTAAATATAATTCCAATTAAATTACTCGATTAATTTAATTATTTACGGAAATTTAAAATGTTAAGTTTACCTAATTTAAAAAAAAAAATTTTAATTCTTCACAAAAATTCATTTTTTTCAAAATATAATTCCAATTAAATTACTCGATTAATTTAATTATTTACGGAAATTTAAAATGTTAAGTTTACCTAATTTTCAAAAAAAAATTTTAATTCTTCACAAAAATTCAATTATTTTCATAAATAATAAAAATTTCTAGAAAAATCTCAATTTTATAATTCTATAAAATTTTTCAAACAATTATTTTCTCAACAATTTTGATAAAATTCTTTACAAAAATTCAATGAGATATTTTTTTTAAATTAAATTACTCGATTAATTTAATCATTTACGGAAATTTAAAATATTAAGTTTACCTAACAACTCAAAGAAAAGGACAATTTCATTTAAGGCAAACCATTTGGATTTTTATATCTCAATTTTTTTCAATGGATTTTTAATTTCTTTGGACTTTTTGACCAGGACAAAAAATTAGTCCAAAATGAAATTATTTTTTTTTTTACTTTTTTGGATTGCATTTACTTTGGATTTTTTGGTTTGGACTATTTGTCCGGTTACTAATTTCTATAATTGTTACAAATATTTTTGGTTTATTGGTGTTCAACATAAAGTCGCAGTCCGCAACGTTTTTAAATACGACAACGAACACATGATATTTATAATATTTTTATACTTAAATTATTTTGTAAGTAATTGTCCTCTGAGAGATAATAATTACTTAGTAAGAAAATTTGGTAGTTTTTTATTTCTTAGTAAAGAAAAATAATATTTTTCTATTTCTTAGTAAGAAAAGTAGTAGTTTTCTTAATCTTAGTAAGAAAATTAGTATTTTTTTATTTCTTAGTAAGAAAATTAGTAGTTTTCTTATTCTTAGTAAGAAAATTAGTATTTTTTTATTTCTAAGTAAGAAAATTAGTAGTTTTTATGTTCTTAGTAAGAAAATTAGTATTTTTTTATTGTTTAGTAATGAAATTACTATTTTTCTATTTCTGAATAAAAAAATATAATAAAAAGAACACGAAATTAATATTTTTTATTTCTTAGTAAAAAATAGAATAGGAAGTACCACATCTTATAGGAAACAAGCCCTTTTTTTAAAAGAAGTTTCCTCTTTCTATAACTTTTTTTTCAGTAAAAGAAACATTTGAAAGGAAATAAGTTTTAAGACCATTTTCTTTCGTCAAGGAAATAGTATTTTATTTCTTAGTAAGAAAAGTAGTATTACAATATTTTCTTATTTCTTATTTAGAAATTCTTTTTTTTCACCACTAAATTCAAAAGACTGATTGAAAATATTATTTTATATTTTTCAATTCATTTGATTTTTTCATTTTTAAAAACGTTGCGGACTCATGTGTTGAATACGAAATACGAATATCAAATATTCAAATTGTTCATTATCAATGGTTTGGAGGAAAAAAATATTTTTCAAATCAATTTTTTATAAATTTCTGATAGAAATTTTTTTACAATCTTTCTTGATTATTATTTGTTTTAGAAACATAAGTTTTTAAATAAAAGTAGTTTATTATTTTCATTGTGAATAGCACTTTTTTCCTCCAATCGTTGATTATGAATACTTATGAAGTTCATCGACGTTGTTCAACAATATTTAAAAATCTTAAAAACCGTAAATTCTTTTTGAATTATTTTTTTCATCTTAATAACTTTTAAATTACTATAGGATTTTAAAAAAATAAATCTTGATTTTCTTTCTTATTTTTCATAGTAATTGAATTATAGAAAATATTTCTTCGCATTTATTTTATTGTTTATTTTGTCTGCATTGCATTTTGTTTATTTTAAATTATTACATTTTACGAAGAGCCACATTTTGAATGTATTAGTATATTCTTTGGTGTAAAAACATCTATAAATTCAAAATGCTTCCAAAATAATTGAATTTCGGAAGAGTTACAATTGATAAATTCGTAGTTTAATTTTAAAAAAATTTGAAATGAAGATTTTTTGTAAATAATTGAAATTTATTGGAGTCAGAATTATTTAAAATTCTGAAAAAATTGTGTTTTTTTAAAAAAAATTTGCTTTTATATTTTTAAGATGATTAAATTGTTGACTAAAATATAGTTATATAATAGTTAATTAAAAGTTTTTAAATAATTGAAATTTTGTAAAACTATATTGAAAATAATTTTTGTAATAGAATTTACATTGGTGATGTTAATAAAGTTTATCATCAACGAATTGGGAGAAAATATATTTTTGTAAGCAAAATTTTTAAGAAAAAGCATTTAAAAATTTAAAACATTTACAAATTTTCCTTGTCGATTATTTTTTTTAAATTAGTAGACAGAAATTCTTTTATAAATAATAAACTAAATTATCAATCAATGAAATAAAATAATATAAAATTTTTTTCTATCACCGAAATTTGGATTTGAAAGCAGTAAAAGAGTCACTTCCTTAGTTCCTTAACAGTAAAGTTATAAAATAAACTTCTTTTTATACCTTAAAAACTTTGAAAAGGCCATAAATTCTTTTTAAAACAGCTCGACATGCTGAAAACTTTTATTCAAATTCTTAATTCTAAAAATTATCTTATATCTTACAATTGAAAAAACTTCTTAAAGTTTTTTGTAGGAGAAAAACAACTTTTCCCTTTGAAGAAATAAGTCAAAAATTCTGTCTGGAAATTAGGAAAAAATAAAATTTTTGCGGCAACTCTTGTGATTGTATTCAATTTCCGTAATTTTATTTTTATTAGTAAAATTTTGTTCTTCACTAAAGTTTTGAATTCGATTTTATCTCTTATTAGCATTCTTTTCTGATCAATTACTACATTTTCTCTCTTTCAGAAACTTTTTTCACTTAGTTTTCAATTTTTTCTTTGCATTTTATTTAACTGCATTCCTTCATTCCTTTATACTCTTTAATCACATTTGGAACTTTTTCGAATTCAATGCTATCTGTTAATTGAGCATTTAAGTCTAAAGAGTAAGAAATTTCCAAGTCATTATGGAAAACATTAGAGAAAGTCATAGAAAGCAAACAGAGAGAACCAGTAAAGAAATCTTGGAAAATCCCAAGAATTTGAAATTTTGTTTTTCAATAAATTAACATTAACAACGTTTCTTTTAGAAAACAGAATTAATAATATTATTATTAATTAGTATTAATAAATATAGTAATTGTGATTTAAATAATTGGAATTTATTGAAAGTTTGTCTTGTTCGTTTCAGGAATTGCGAGATTTTGAAGAGGAGAAAGAATTGATGACCGCTTCAACCAGCGAGGAACAGAAGCAAAGTGGCCAGTCGCCTCCCTTATCAGCCGACGAGGAAAGTGATATTGAAAGTCTGCACAGTTTTCATTACAGTCCAAAAGCCGTGGACTTGCCTTCTGCAATCAGATTAGCAAAAAGGCTTTATTCTCTGGACGGTTTTAAGAAATCCGACGTCTCTCGACATCTTAGCAAAAAGTACGATAGAAAAATTTTATTCTTCTAGTGATAAAAATTCCATATGAAATTATTTCTTATGTTTTTATTTAAAAATTATTTTAAAATTTTGTGAATGAATTTTATATAATATGTAAAATTTTACATACAATTTATTGACTGCACAATATTAAATTGTTCACTTTTTTATCACTTTCATCGAGATTCTTCTCGAATATGGCAATGCAAAAAGGTAAAATACACTAATTGTTGAGTATTAAATTCTAAATATTATTTATTATTTTATTCAGCAACGACTTCAGCAGAGCTGTGGCTGAAGAATATTTAAGGTACTTTAACTTCGAAGGGGACACGCTGGACGTGGCTCTAAGAAAATTTCTTGCTCAGTTTTCATTGACCGGTGAAACCCAGGAAAGAGAACGAGTTCTTGTTCACTTTTCCAAAAGATATCTCGACTGTAATCCTGGCAGCTTTAACTCACAAGGTACATTCAAATTTTGTTTATTGAACATTATTTTCTTTTATATATTTTAAAAGTATTTTTTATTTTTTTTATTGAAAAGTATTTTCTATTTTTTTATTGAACACTATTTTTTATTTTGTTTATTGCAGGCTTCGCACTCCTCTACTGAAACCTACTATTTACTACTTTTTTTTACGTTATCCTACTATTTGGGTACTTTTTTTAGATTAAAATATTCGAAATCCAATTATCCAAAATTCAATTACTTTCATAAACAATAAAATTTCTATAGGACTTAAATTAATTTAGAAAAGTATTTTCAAAAAAATCAATTATTTAACAAAATTTTTTATAAAATTCTTCGAAATAATTCAATTACTTTCACTAATAAAAACATTTTTCATGTAAATTCAATTTAAAAAAAAAAAATTTGGATAAAATTCTAAGCAAAAATTTAATTATTTTCATAAATAAATAAAACTCATCGAAGAATTTCAATTATTTTTAATACTATTTCAATTTAATTAATCAAAAAATTCACTTATTTTCACAAATAAAATTTTCCACAAGAATTCAAATATATTTAAAATAAAATTTTTATAATATTTATTATACTGAGCAAAAATTAATTATTTAAAACAATGTTTATAAAATTCGTATAAAGAATTCAATTATTTTCAAAAATAACAAAATTTTTCATAGAAATTCAATTATTTTCAAAAATTTTCATAAAATTTTTCACAGAAATTCAATTATTTTCAAAAATTTTCATAAAATCTTTCGCAATAATTCAATTATTTTCATAAATAATAAAATTCTTCTCAGGAATTTAATTATTTTTGAAAATGTTAATAAGATTGTTTGCAACTATTCAATTATTTTCATAAATAATCAAATTCATCGCAGGATTTCAATTATTTTTAATACTATTTTACAGAAATTGCTCAAGAAATGTAATTATTCTTCAAAATTTTATTAGGGTTTAATTATTATCAAAAATTTTAATAGAATTCTTTGTAAAATTTAATTAATTTTTAAATCTTTTCGGAATTCAATGACTTTCAATATTTACTATTTTCATAAAATTTCTAGACAGAATTCAATTATTTCAAAAAAATTTTTGCAAAAATCTTCGTAAGAATTCAATTATTTTTATGAATAATAAACATTTCTTAGGAATTCAATTATTTAAATTATAATTTGAATAAAATTGTCGAAAAAAATGAATTATTTAAAAAATTTTTATAAAATTCTTCGCAAGAGTTAAATTATTTTTATAAATATTTAAATTCTTTCATGAACAATAAAATTCGTTGCAGGGATTCTTAGCAGGATAAGAAAGAAGTAGAATATTTTTGATGAAAATTAGGAAAAAGTCTGGAAAATAAAATATAGAATGGAATTTTTGTCAGTTTTGTGAAGTGTCTAAAACGAGTTTTTTTAGTCAAGTTTAATTTTTCGATAGCTAATTTTTTTAGTTTATAAGCTATTTTTTGCTACTTTTTAAAAATTAATTATTGAGTGTGAAGTCTGATATTGAACACTATTTTCTATTTTGTTTGTTGAAAAGTATTTTTTTTATTTTGTTTATTGAACACTATTTTTCATTTTGTTCAATAAACAGTTTATTTTATTTTGTCCAATAAACAGTATTTTTTATTTTGTTGATTGAAAAAATTTATTTTTTTTAATAAGCAGTGTTTTCTGATTTTGTTCACTAAATCGTATTTTAATTTAATTTTGTAACGCTAATAAGAGGAAAATTTAAACTAGATGCTGTTCATACACTGACGTGTGCTATAATGTTACTTAACACGGATCTTCATGGCCAAAATATTGGCAGAAAAATGTCATGTTCGGAATTTATTGAAAATTTGTGGGAACTCAATGACGGAGACAATTTCCCAAGAGAAGTGCTCAAACAACTTTACAATGCCATTAAATCGTTTCCTCTAGAATGGGCATTGTGAGTATAAACTATTTTCTCTCTTCTTACGTGTCATTAAACACAGAGAGTGCGACTGAAAAATTCCACCTTCGTTTATTTCGTTTTGATTTTCACTCAAATCTATTTAATATTGACATTTTCTGATTTCTGGAAATTTTCTTCTGGATTAAAAAAGAAAAAAGTGTGAAAAAAAATTCTTTTTTGGATTCTTTTGAAGTAAAAACGAAAAGGATCTTTAAAAATGTTTTTTTATTCTTTTCGAATAAAAAAGAAAAGAGTCTGTAAAATTTTTTTCTTTATTCTTCTGGAGTAAAAACGAAAAGTGTCTGTAAAATTTTTGTTATCTCTTCTGGAGTAGAAAATAAAAGGTTCTTTAAAATTTTTTTTAAATTTTTTTGTAGTAAAAAAGAAAAGGATCATTAAAAAATTGTTTTTTTAATTCTTTGGGAGTAAAAGAGAAAAGAGTATTTAAAAAAATCTTCTCGATTTTTTAGAGACGACGAAGGAGACGAGGCAGCGTCTCACGCTGTTCAGCAGGGCGATGGTCCAGCTTTATCTACCTCCGGAAATCCATTTCTTGACGTTCCAAATATCACTGGTGCCACTGAATATAAGAAAGGATACGTTATGCGCAAAAGTTGTTATGACGCGAATGGAAAGAAAAGTATGTATTCATTTTTTCATTCTGAAAGATGTTATTCTATTTTTTAACTCTTTTTTTTCTCTTTCTGTTTAACATTTTTTTGCAATTTTCGTGTTTCAGCGCCTTTTGGAAAGAGAGGGTGGAAAATGTATTATTGTACATTAAGAGAGCTTGTATTATATTTGCACAAAGATGAACATGGTTTTCGAAATGACAGTTTGCATAATGCCATACGTATTCACCATGCACTTGCTACAAAAGCATCTGATTACACGAAAAAACAATATGTCTTCAGGTTACAAACAGCTGATCAAGCGGAATATCTGTTTCAAACTAGGTAAATTTCAATTTATTCATTTTATTTACATTTACTTCAATCTATTTCCAATTTATTTTAATTTATTGCAATTTATTAATTAATAAATAAAACAAAGAAAGTTATAATTTAATTTTTAAATCTTTATTTTCTTTATCATCTTAAAAATTAAGAAAAAAATGCATAAGTAGAGTTACAGTTGCAATTTTTAGAAATCAATTATTTTTGTTTTTAAATAATTGAATTCTCGTAAAAATTTTTGATACGAATTAATTTGAAAAAGAATTTCAGTTCAAATTTTAGAAACTAATTGAAGAATTGGAAGTTTTGCAGTTCTAATTTTTAAAAATAATTAAATTTCAAAAAATTGAAGGTATTTTGAAATTTTAATTCCTGGTGGGCAAATATTTCTATTTATTAAAGAAATTACTATTTTTCTAGTTCTGAATAAAAAAATATAATAAAAAGAAAATAAGAAGGAAACAAAATTAATATTTTTTATTTCTCTTTAAAAAATAGAATAGAATGTAAACAAAATTGGTATTTTTTTATTTCTTTGTAAGAACATTAGTATTTTTCTTTTTCTTAGTAATACAATTACTATTTTTCTATTTCTGAATACAAAAAATATAATAAAAAGAAAATAAAAAGGATACAAAATTAGTATTTTTTATACCTTAGTAAAAAAATAGAATAAAAATTATTCAATTATTTTGTCACTTACTTTTGTGTTTAAATAATTGAATTCTCGTAGAAATTTTTGATAAGAATTGATTTGAAAAAGAATTTCACTTAAAATTCCAGAAAATATTTGAAGAATTGGAAGAATTGCAATTCTAATTTTTAGAAATAATTAAATTTCAAAAGATTTTATATTGAACGTATTTTGAAATTTTAATTCCTGGTGGAAAAATAAATAACAATAAATAGGCATTTAAATATTTATTAAACAAAAATTAATGGAATTAAAAAAATTTTATTTACAAGTTCTGAAAAAATCTAAAAAAATTGTATTTAAAATTTTTGGAAAATAGTTAAATTCACAAAAATAATTTGAAAAAATAGGAAATTTTCCCAAATTGCATTAAAATAAATTTTCTAATTCAAAGAATTTTCTTTTCTCACTTAAAACAATTGTCTTTAAATATTATTGTATTTTTTAAAGAATTATAACAAAAAATGCTTTATAATAGCAATTTTAAGAAATAATTAAATTTCAAAAGGTTTGACATTGAAATTATTTGAAATTCCAGTATTAAAATAAATAACGATAAGTTTTAAAATATTTGCTAAGCAAATATAATTGAAGTTTCGAATAATTTAATGTAGAAATTTTAAAGAAATAGGTTTTTGAAATATTGGAATTAAAATTTTTTTGAAGATAATTAAATTCACAAAAGTAATTTTAAAAATTGAAACAATTAAAAGTTTTGTCAAATTTCATTGAAATAAATTTAATATTTGAAAGAATTTAATTCTATTACTTTTAAAAATTGTTTTGAAATATAATCGTATTTTTAAAGAATTGTATTTAAAAAAAAAATAATAAATTTTCATTAAATTTCAAAAAGAAAGTTTTTGTAACTGACAATAGGATTTAAAATTTCACTCGTACCTGTAGTTGTGCTGATATTTAAATAACTAAAGTTTAATTAAATATCATTTTTAAATAAAGTCTAATTTTTACACAAAGTTGTATTTTTTTATAAAGTTTAATTTTTAAAATATGCGAAAAACTTAATAATTCATTTTTGAAATGATTCTTATGATTCGAAAACATAAAGTTTAATTTTCAAATTATGCGCAGAACTTTATAATTCTCTTTTTGAAATTAATCTTATAATTTGAAAACATAAAGTTTGATTTCTAAATTATGCGCAGAACTTAATAATTCGCTTTTTGAAAGTAATTTTATTATTATTATTATTTTGCAATCTAAAAAATACTGGATTATAATTTAAATTTAAATTTATAAAATTATAATCTAAAATGAAATTAAAATTAACATTTAGATTGATATTTCTGCTATCTGGAAAACAATGTAGTCGGAAATAGAATAAAAATTTTCTTATTGAAAAATATTACACTGGGTGAAGTTTTCAGATCAATATAGAAACTAGGAGACACGTGAAAGATGCCAATTTGAATAAAGGACTTTATGGCATTGTATATAAATTGTATAATCAAGTATTTATTATTGACAGGCTTTGTTCGCCTTTGTAATATGCGATCATATTGAAGTTGTCCGTCTTTTTTTAAAATAAATATTTTTATTACGTAATCCTTTGAAACCTGTGCAATTTTGTAATTAAAATTAAAATTTGTAGGCAATTTCGAAAAATTAGGATATGTCTCTAAAATTCGGAAGAATATAATTATTTGTTTAAATTTAAAAAAGAAATTTTAATTTAAAATTTCATTAAAAATAATAATTTTAGATCCGATTGAAAATTAAATGGAAATTAAATCGTAAATTTCGAAAAGAGCTTAACTATTTAATTAGATTTTATATTTGTTTTATAATTATAGATTTGATAAGTCTTTGTAATCTTTTAGTAATCTCTTGATGAAAATGGTTTTGAAATAAAAAAATCAATAATAAGTGATTGTAATTCAATAAAACTGATTTTTTTTATATTTACAGTGACTCCAAAGAATTGCAGTCGTGGATCGACACGATCAATTTCGTCTGCGCAAGTTTTTCCTGCCAACCTCTCGCTGGTGCGGTAGGTTCCCAACGAAAGTTTCAGCGGCCTTTACTTCCCTGTAGTCATACGAAGTTAAGTCCCGTAAGTCAACTTTTTCATAAGTTTATATACAGAAAATCACGAAAATAAAGTTTTTCGAGACTTTCTTAGAGAATATTTTCTTCTTTTTTTTTCTTACATTTTACATTTTTATACTTCTTTCTTGAATTCCATTTTTATTTTTATTTTCAGAGAGAGCAATTGCGGGATCATGAAGAAAGAGTAAACAAATTGGAGACTGATTTAGACGAGCACAGGCGACATCCGCCCGAAAAAGGCTCTAAAGCATTAACTATTCAAAATTATAAAGAGAAAGACGCTTATTTACAGCACGAGGTTTGTTCATTATTTTTCGTTTTCTTCTTTTGCTTTTGAATCTTGAGTTTGGTTTTTAATTAACAAATCGTGAAGATTTTTTTTTTGGTAATAAAATTTTAAATAAAATGTAGTTTTTAAATATCGATAATCGCAAAAATTTGTTTAATAACAGGCCTCGGATAGTATAAATTTTTGCACTTTTTTCGACTATTTTATAAAAAAGACGACTTTTCGACTTGTTTTAAAAAAGCTTCGACTTTTTTTACTTTTCTTCCAAATATCACTTTTTTGATATAAAATTCAACTTTTTTTTATTTTTATATTGTGAAAAATAATATCGTCAAATCTTTCTAAAATTATTTTTGAATAAAATTTATTTTCTAAATATTGCAGCAAAACACAATTTTTCGATATAAAATTCAAGTGTTTTTGATTTTTATAATGTGAAAAATAACTCTATAGTTAAATCTTTCAAACATTATTTTTCAATAACAACTTTAGGATAATATTATATAATTAATTAAAAAGTTTTTAAATAATATTGAAATTTATAAAAATTTTATTAACAATAATTGATTTTTTTTAAGTATTCACTTAAAATTTTTTAAAATCAAATCTTTAAGAATTTTAATCGCAAATTTTGAAAATAATTGAATTATCAAATATTTTAATGAAAAATCCTTTAGATGGAAATTTGAAAATGGAAATTAAAGAAAATTAACTTCAAAAAAATTATATTAAAATATTTTTATAAAAGAAAGACTTACAATTTTTTAATTGCAATTTTTTAAAATTCAATTATTTTAAATATTTCCAAATATAATTTATAAATTTCCGAAAATGTAAATATCTACAAAAAATAAGTAGATTAAAATTCAAAAATAATAATTTTGTAGAATTATTATTAAAATTTCGGAAAAAACAACCTTTTTCTAGATTGTTTATTAAAATTCTTTAAAAGTTTGGTTATTTTTTAATGTTTATCAAAAATTTTTCTAAAAAATTTAAATTATTTTTAAAAAAATATTACTAAATTTCAAATATTTGGAAATTGTTCAGTTACATATACGTTTAATTGAAAATTTTTAAAAAACTAATTTTAAGAATTTTCATTATACCTAGTTTTTTAAAAATCAATTGTTTTTAATATTTTTTAATAAATTTACCTAAAGAAATTTAAAAAAAAACGAATTACTGTTACAATTATTGTAAAAAATTGAATTTTTGTATTCAAATAATTAAATTCTCGAAAAACTGTCGAAAAATTATTCAAAGTAATTGATTTAATAATTAATTGATTTAAAAAAAAGAAATTCATTTAAAAATGCTAGAAAATAATTAAATTTTTGAAGTTTTACGTTGTAATTTTTAAAAATAAATAAATTTCAGAAAATTTGAAATTTAAATTTAAAAAAATTTGAATTCTTGTGGCTATGTAAATAACACTCTAATAACATTTAAATATTTATTTCAGAAAATTATTGATGTTTTGAAGAATTACATTTATGTGTCAGTGAAAAAATTTTAATTCTTAAAGTAAATAACAAGTATTTAAATATTTATTTAAGAAATTTATCCAAGTTTTGAACAATTAAAAAATTGAGATATCAGTGACTTTAAATTTAATAAAATTTAATAATATTAATTTCGTAACTTTAATCGACTAAAGTTATCGTTAAATTTTTATTATTAAAATAAAATAATTTCACTGAGTGATAAAATAGAAATTACTTATAAATGTTTCTTTAGCTTCACTAAAATATGAATAAATATTTCTAAAAAGAAACAAATTTTTAATATTTTCTGATAATTGTTTCTGACTTGGAATTTTTAATGCATTTAACTAATTACTTTCTTTTTCAATAACTAACTTCAGCTCGTTACGGTACAGGTAACAATATTTAAATAGTGCCAAAATGTTTGCTGATCTTATTATTTTATTATCTATGTTTTTTTTATGTACGAGAAAAATTGTTTTAGTATTTTATCTTAAAATGAATGGTCAAAATTTGCGAAATTACGAAAGAAGTATTTTCTTTTTTGATATATTTTAATAAAAAAAAAAAAAGGAATTATTCTTGTGTCGATTTCAAAAATTATGATTCTTGAAGTTTTTCTAATGTGTTAAAAAATGTGTTTGAAAAAAAAGTGTTTGGATTTGATTAATTTATAATTAATTGTTAATGTTAATTATTTCAGTTGAAGAGGTACAAAACTTATGCCTATCTTCTGCGATCACGATTGGTTTTTGCTGAAGTGGAACCACCATTGGTTGAAAGCAGTATCGGCGAGGTTGATGAAGTCTCGGGAGCTCCATTAAATTCAGACGTTGCATTGGTGCCACCTCCGGTTCCTGATCGTCCAGCCACAAATAGGTACAGTTACAGGGCAGCAATTTACAACAAAAATCTTCTGAATGGTCAAGACTTTGGTTAGGTCTTTTTGGTTTGACATACTATGTTGGGTGTATTTTCAGCACTTGTGGTCTAGTCTGACTTGCGTACATAGGCCGAGGACAGCAGTCATAATTTGGAAGAAAAAATAGCAAAAACGAAGGATACGCGACGCTCTTTTCTTAATCTGCTTTGTCTTCGATCTCTAACGTAAATCATCCCGGAAAAAAAATCTTTCTTTTAAATATTTGTATATATATATAAAAAAAAATGAAAAAAAAAAAAAAACCGACTGATAGTTGCTGACAATTTTTGATCTCAGAATTCGTAGAATTTCACTTGATCGTTTCTTTTATATTTTTCAAAGAGAGAAAAGGAAACGTTAAAAAAAAAGAAAATTATCGTGAAAGAGACAAACTGCTGTCACTTCTGCCTGCATATTCAGATTAATGATCCAGCTTTAATTTCGGTGGTTGGATCCTCTGGGCTTAAATATGAAAGAATTTAATACTAGAGAGTACTGTACATTGACTAGTGATTACTAATAAATCAATTAACAGACTATCGCATATTGGCGAAGAGAAATTAAAAAAAAAAATTATCAAGTGTTTAAATCTTGAGGAAATACAAGAGCGGCTGATTGTCTTTTTTGAAGAATTCATACTTTGTCCTCACAGCATTAAATTTGAAATGAATTCTATATATCTAAGAAATCTCTATTTTTCTGGTTTTCATAATGAGAGAGAAGAAAAAAAAATTGTTGAAAGTACTTAATTTCTTACAATTAGTAAACTTGTTAATCCTGTTGTTATATTAAATACCAGAAAAAATTATTGTCTGTTGATAATTCTTACTTTTTGGAGTCATGACGATGTATTGTGTGTGATAGATAGAATTGTGATTGAAATCTTTTCTGGGCGGGAGGGGACTTTTAGCTTTAACGATTTCAGAAACGAGGACAAAGTATGCCGTTGTATTTTCTGTCGTTAAAAACAAATAAAAATTTGTAACAGTGGTTCACTATTAAACATTTCTTTTGTTTTCATTTTTCTATTTTGCAAGAAAAAAAATGTATTTTTCTAAACTGACCGAAAAATAATTTCTTGAATTTTTCACAAAAAAAAAGAGTAATTAATGTCGCGTGAGAGAAGCGTTGGGAATTTTTTGCATTTGCATTTTCTTAAATGCTTCTTAACGACTGTGATATTATTTTCAAGAATTTGCATTCCTCTTTACGTTCTCTAACGCTGATTGTAATAGTTTGGAGAAAAAAAAGAAAACGAACCACTGTTACTGTAATTGGAGTTTAAACATTCCAGAAAAAGAAAAAAACAGACTTTTCTGTAAAAAGAAAAAAAAAATGTCGAAACGTAAATTTTCTTGTATATTCTCTGCAGAGCTAAGACTTTAAATTCTATGTTAATCAGTAACCTTTCATCATAACATTAAAAACACTTTCTATCCTGTTTTTTCTGAATATTTTTACGAGTATATGGGATTTTTTATTAAAATTTCAATTGTTAAAAAAACTCTATACTCGACTTCTGCTTCTCATTGCTTTTCTTCAACACAAATGTTTAAAAATCAGGATAATTTTTTTGGAAATATTGTTATTCATAGGATTTGAAAGAGTCGAAGTTTATTTTTAAAATAAACTCAAAATTAATTTACAAAATTAATTTATGAAATTAATTTATGAAATTAATTTACGAAATTAATTTACGAAATTAATTTACAAAATTAAAAATTTCTTTTGGAATTAAGTGAACTTTGAGTTTTGCTCTTGGAATATAAAATTATAAATATTTTTTTAGGGCTTAAAATCAAAATAATGAAAATAATTTTGCAGCATTCTTCTTTTTTATGATGCAATTCAAAAAGGTTTGATTAATGTAAAATAATTGTTTTTTTATTATTATTGTGCAAAGTAGACTGGTAGCAGTGCAGACTGCTTATACAAAATGCTTTAAACACTGTTTGTTATTATCATTATCAAAAGCTTCGTTATTTTTTGAAATCACATTTTCGAGAGAGAGAAAACGAAAAAATCATACGCATTGCAGATTTTTTTCGTAACATTTAAAAAAAAATTGTATAGTTTTCTTTAGTTACGTACCTTGAGAAAAAAATATCACTGTTAAGTTTTTTGCAGTATTAAGTAAAATTAGTTATTTATTTAAATCATTTCTTTACATCGTAGTAGCACTGAGTAGGGTGTCTAAAAAAAATGTAATTATGACATTTTTTTTTGCCTACAAATTGCTCAATAATAATTTTTCGTAGTTTCGTATATGAAAAATTCATTTTAGAAAAGAGTTTAACCTTTTCTTTAAGACTTTTCTTTAAAGAAAAGAAAAAAAAATTTTATAGAAAAGTCATTTCTTTAGTAAAGAAGAAACAAAATTGTTATTAGTATTTAAAAAAAGTTTGTGTTGAAATTGTTTTATTTAAAAAAAGAAGTACCTAAATAATTTATTTTTTGAATTGAAAATTCAATATTTTTATATCTTTATTGAATAAGAGTTATCTAGTTTATCACTTCCTTAGATTAAATTTAAAAAAAGGGGATTTTTTACAAATTACTGAGCAGTTTGTAAATTGGAAAAAAGTGCTTTCCGTCGAAAGCTTTTTAGAATTAAAAAAATACAATCTATCTAAAATAAAAAGAAGTAAAGTTAGGACAATATTTGAAAATATTAAATAGGACACCCTGCTATACTTCTTGCCAATAAAATGAACCACATCAGATTTCGATCACGAAAAGGAATTTATAAATACAATTTAGTAAAAATTTAGTCATCATTTTATTAACTTTCATAATTAAAATGAAAAGAAAAAAAATTGTACAAGAGAATAATTTATTCACACAAAAAAAACTGTCGATTATTATCTAGAGTTAGAACATAATCTAGTAATGAAATTTTTAATCCAAAGCAATAATCTATTTATACCTGGGGTCATATTTATACCACAAAATGTTAAACTCATACTTAATCTATCCTTATAGATAAAAAGTTGACTGATTAATTTTTCGTTTATATACCTTGAGAAGAAAAAAAAACCAAACTGCCATTCGATAAAAGTAGAATTTTGATTATTAAAAAAATCATTTCACTAGGGGAAAAAATGTTAATTTATATTTCATTACAAGTAGTTTGTTTCTATAGAGAAAATGCATCAAAGAAAATGCAAAATTCGTAAAAAAAAGATCATTTTTCTGAAAAACGAAGAGAATAATTAAAATAAAATTAGAAAACTTTTAACAGCGAAACAGAAAGAAGATCTTTATTTAATTTATTATAAAAACAAATTTTTGTGGTTGCGCTTTTTCATTATACACGCTTATATACCAGTCAATTTATACCCTCGAGATTATTGAATAAAGTAGGATGTAAAATCTAGTTTGTAGAATAAAAAAAAAAAAAAAAAAAAAAATCCTTGTATATACGAATGTAATATATGTGGATAATCTAACGATTATAATAATATAATTCGTTTGAGCGCTGATGGCAATAAAAACGACTCTCCAAGTTATATAAATAGATATCGAACATTTTCGTAATAATAACCCGAAATAACGTACGTATTATGCAAATAGGTACTGTAAATTCATATTTCTGGAATAAAATTAGGCTATAATGGCATACAATCAAGTCGCTGTATTACTTGATGTTTTCCTTGCATTTTTTTTAGCAAAAAAAGAAAAGCATGTGCACGACTATAACTAATTTTTAATTATTGCCAATTCTTTTTTAAAGCACACTAATCAGTATCGCACCTTATTCATCATAATTCCTATTATTATTATTTGTGTATCTACTAACTTTAGAATATTTGTACTAAAATCCTATTATCTCCAATTTTTAGTGTAAGTTTATCGTCTTACTTCCAAAAAATGAAAAAAAAACTCCTTTTTATGTTATATTATTTGGAAATATTGAATTTTTTTGGTAAACTTTTTGATTTTTTAAAATTTATTAAATTTTGGTATTTAAAATACTAGAATTTGCTTTTATTTAATTTTATTTTTACTAAAGTTTATATTAATATTTTCAGGCCTCGGATTGTACGACATTTTGGACTTTTTTTCGACTATTTCGACTTTTCTTCTCAATATTACAACGAAATATCATTTTTTTGGTATAAAATTCAACTTATTTTTACTTTTACAGTTCGAAATATAACTACAGTCAATTTATTACAATTTTTTTTTAATAACAAAAACAGTTTATTATTTTCAAAAAATTTTCGCAAGACTTCAATTATTTTCATAAATAATTACATTCTTGGAAAAATTCAATTATTTTCTAAAGTTTCAATAAATTCTTGGAAATAGTTCAATTATTTTTATAAATAGTAAAATACTTTGCAGGAATTCAATTATTGTCAATACAATTTTAATAAAATTTCACGAAAGGATTCAATTATTTTTAACAATTTTTCGAAAGAATTCAATTATTTTCTAAAATTTCAATAAATTTTTGAAAACAATTCAATTATTTTTATAAATAGTAAACTTTTTCGCAAGAATTAAATTATTTTTATAAATAAAAAAATTTTTCTCAGAAATTAAATTATTTTCAATGCAATTTTACTAAAATTTTTGAAAGGATTCAATTATTATTTTTAAAAATGTCAATAAAATGTTTTATAAAAATTCAATTCTTTTGAGCAAAATTTTTATAAAATTTCTCGAAATATTTCAATTATTTTCAAAAATAATAATTTTCTTTACATAAATTCAATTATTTTGAGGAAAATTATTATAAAATATCTCGAAATAATTTAATTATTTTCAAAAAGTGGAATAAAATTCTGCTAGAAATTCAATTAATTCAAAAAGATTTTAATAATATTCAATAAACAAATTTTTAATTTCAAATATTAATAAATACAATTATTTTAAATTCGCGATAGAAATTCTTCGTAAAATTCAATTACTTTTAAAATTTTTAATTAAAATCATCATTAAAAAATTGAATTTTTGTGTTAAAATATTTGAATTCTCGACGATTTTTCGGAAAATGATTAAAAATAATTGTTGTAGAGAAGAAGTTTAGTTAAAAATTGCAGAAAACAATTGAATTTTGAAAAAATTACAGTTGCAATTTTTGAAAATAATTGAATTTCACAAGATTTGAAATTGAAATGGAAAATAAAAAATTTTAATTCTCTTGGAAAAATTAATAAATAGTATGTAAAATATTTAATGAAGGAAAATATGGAGTTTTGGAATAATTAAATTTAAAAATCAGTGAAAGGCCAGGGAATTACAAAATAAAATATTTTAAATGTCAATATTTAGAATTTAATAAATCCAAAAATCAAAAATGTTTTAAAAATCAATCGGTTTTCTAAATAATATAACACAAACCCAAAAAAAAAATTAAAACTGTCTACTGACTGGATTTTTATAAAGTATCTTTTTTACAAGTAAAAAATTCGAGTAAAAAAATAAGCATGGTACACTTTTACGAAATAAAAGAAATCTATCAAAATATTAATCGTATGCATTTCGAAAAAATAAAAAATAATTTATACTATTAAAAAAAGAGAAAAGTGAAAAAACGTATTTTGAAAAAATGTGTACTGTGATATAGTAAAAAATGAGAACGAAAAATTATTGCATGCATTAAAAATATTAAATAAATTTTAGAAGTATATATAAATAAGAAAGAAAAAAAATGAAAAAAAACATTTGCATGTTTAACAGCTTCCCAGTAGATAAAAATAATATTAATTTGTTGCATGAAAACAGGGTTGACCTGACAACATCCTGAACAAGAACCTGCTCGACTTTACAAAGGTGCTACTGTGATGAACATCGTAGTTCACATTTTTTAATTATATGATAATTATTAAAATAATTTATGACTGCGTAGAATATTTATATAAATATGAATGTAAATAAATGTTAATTGTCTTTAGTTTTTTGATGCTCAGCAATGTTAAATGTTGGTCGTTTTTGTCTTCATTCAACATTGGATTTTTTAATAACAATTTTTCGATAAAATGCTCGACTGTGAAAATGTCAAATATGTACTTTTTTTTTTTTAAAGAAAAAGCAAATGTTTGATCAATTGTTAATGCTATGTGTCATTAAGTGAATAATTAATTATATGTTAATTATTTAATTGTATTTTTATTATTATTTATTAACAATATTTTTATTACTTAATTAATAATATTTCTATTACTATTAATTAATAATATTTTTTATTACTATTATTTAATAGTAATATTGTCTACTCTAAATGATTCAGAATTTGATTTCTTATTTAATTTTCAAAACTTTCAATTCTAGTTTAATTAAAATAATTGTAAAATTTTTATATCATTCAGAACTATTCTTTGTTGAATTTCGGAATTCAAGTCAATTCAATTAAGTTTTTTTTCAATTTCATGTTGAATTTTGGAATTCAATTCAATTTTATTTCAGTTGATTATTAATTATTAATAATTTATTATTTTTATTAATAATTATTAATACAAATTCAAAATTCAATTTCGGATTGAATTTTTAGTAACAATCACTGATGACAGTTGGAAATTTTAAAAATTAACGAAAAAGAAATTTGTCTTCTTCTAATTAGCTAAGAGAAAAATTCTAATTGAATCGCTTTTACGAAATGTCAAAAAATAAGAAATAATGAAATAAAAATTAAATAAAAATAGCAATACAATTGAAAAAACAGAGGCTTCTTATAATTTTAGATGCGTAATCAAAAGTAGAAATCTAATATTAATTTTTAATATTAGTAACAATATTCAAGGATCAGAGTAAACAAAAAATTGATCCTGAGTGTGAAGGAAAAGGAAGAAAAATGTTTTTAAATTTTAGAGATAATTCTTCTTTTAATGAGATTATTTATTTTTTGTATCTTCTATTTAAGCATAGTATTTATTAATGCCAAAGAACTGCATTTACATGAAGTCTTTTTTATCCACTTTTCAAATCTGTAGTTTTTAATAATTAATCTATGTGCATAAAAAAAGGAAAAATAGATTAACAAACGAGAAAAGTTTTTTTTTGTATGAGAACAAATTTAAAAAAAAAAAAACTCATTTTGTACAATGATAAATTAGTGCCAATTTTTTATTTTTAAACAATTCATTTTTATTATAACTCTTTGAAAAATTATCGTTTTGCAATAAATAAGATTATATTTCAAAATAAAAATTATAGAAATACTATTTCTATAAAGAGATTATATAAATATTATAGAAATATTATGTCTATAAAAAAATTATAAGTAGAAAAATATTATTTCTATAATAAATATAGACAGTCAGCTCTTATAAATTATCGAATTTACAATATTTACATTTTCAAGATTTCTTAATGTTCATCAACATTTTTGTATTGAGACATTATGAGACAACAAATTTTTTATTCCATTTTAGTTTTTCTCTACTTTTTTCAAAACTTTGATTCTTTTTTGTCATTTTATAGAGAGAAAAAATTCAACATTAAGTTATTTTGGAATTTCATTTGATGGACACAAATAATTGTTTCTGTTTATTTAATTTATAATTTATAATTTATAAATAATAAAAACATAATTGTTTATATAGTTAACAAATATGTCTTCAAAAATTAATGGAAATAAAGTAAAGTGTAAAATTTTCAGATAAGTAATTTTATCAATACTAATTACAATTATGAGCAAAAAAATGAAATAAGGAGAAGAAAATTTTAATGTCAAATTTAGGGAATGATAAATTTGTTTCTTTGTCAATAGAGTGGTTCTAATATTATTGTAAAAATACAAAATTGAGTGCGTTAAGCGTAACTTTGCAAATTTCATGTTATTATTCATGTACATAACAGTTTATCTTTGTGCGGAAGAATAAACACAATTAAAATACGAACACTTTTAAAGTTTCTGTTTTTGTTCGAAAGGAAAAAAAAAGAATTAGATTTTGCCTTACTATTTATTAAATAAAATTTAATTTGAAAGGAGTTGGTAAGTAGTTTTTATACAGATTAACTATTATATAATCACTGTTTTTTAGCATTAAGATAAATTTAAAGATTTATTTTCGTTTAAGAAGATGAATTCTTTTTGAAAACCATTTTTAGAATCTATTTTCATATTTCTTTTTTTGGTAATTTTGTTTACGATGCTTCGAAACAATGCTCAATATATCGATAAGTAATTTATTAGGAATAAATACTCTCTCGGATTAACTGTTTTTCTGTATTATTCCGATTTCTGAAATTTCGATTTTCCTAATTCCTAAAAATTCTAAAAAAAGTATTTTATTAGTTTTTAAAAACAAGAAAAAAGTTAAATTATTATTATTTGGATCTAAATAAATTTAAAACAATTCAATTAGTATTTTTATACAGATTTATTATCATGTAATCACATAATATTGTGTATGTTTTTTTTTAGATACATCTACTTTACATCTCGGTGATTCGAAATATAATTCTAAATTTATTTACAGAGACGGTGCAGAAAATATTCAATAATAATACTTAATAAAAATTTCTTTATATTACATTATTTGTCGAAAAATCTCGACCGGATTCTCAACATACAAAGATATAAATTCATTTTGTATACATGTGTGTACACGACTGATATATTTATATTTGTCTGCGACAGGGTATCGTCGTGTTCCTCCCTAATTAAATTCATTCATTAAACATATTATACAAATGATAGATTATCCTGATTTTCTTTTTCTCAATATTTTTAAGTAAAACTAAAAAATTGTACAACTTTGGAGGAATGTCGTGATGGCTTAGCACCAACATTATTATAAATCGTTTAGTCGCACTGCAATGGCACTTTACAAATTAAATAATGTCTGTCATATATATAATATATTTTTATTTATATATGTATATATATAAATCTTTTAATAATTGTAAAACCCTACCCAATAACGTATTAACAATAACAACGGTGGATTTACCTTTTCTTTTCTTTTTTTGCTTTTTTTTAATTTAGTTCATCCACTTACGGCAGGTAGGCGCACCACAAGCACATGGTATCTTGTGTTGATCATCTTCGATATCAAATTTATAATCGTATGATAGCTGAAAAGAAAAAAAATTATAAATACAAATAAATACTTTATACTTATAAATAAATACAAATCTAAATTTCATTAAAAATACTTTCTTCAAGAAAATCATTCTTCTCTTCATTAAAAATCAACATTTTATTTTGTTGATAATCGAAAATTTTAAAAAGTTTAAAAGTTTAGAAAGTTTTTTTAACTTAATTTTCTTTTAATTTTAGTTTTCTCAAATTAAAATTTATTATCATTATTTATCAATAGTAAATTAAAGTTGTTTCTAATATTTCAAATTTTTCCAAATTAGTAAATTTGTCGAAAATTTTAGAATATTTTCTTTTGTAAAGAAAATTGAAACTTACCTCTTCGCCACGTGAGATTCTTCGCTTAGCAAAGATAATTATTCTGAGATCTCTATCGACTTCGACGATTTCAGTGGTACAATTAGGACTGCAAGAGTGATTAATATAACGAGCAAGTCCTCCGCATAGAGTTGCATCTATTACGCGATCCTCATCCAAACGGAACATATAAATACCGCGATTCTGTAATGAAAAAGACGATTTTTTTGTTTATTAGTTGAATCTTAAAATAAATTACAAAAAAAACTAAAAATATTAGAAAAAAATAAAATTATCTGATAATTTTATTATAATTTATGAATCATAATTATTAATTTGTTTTACAACAAAATTCAATTATATATTCAATTATTAATTTAGGTACCTAAAATATTTCTCTTCTATTTCTTGTAGATAATCGAATAAATAATAAATAAAAATATAATAATAATCAATCAATATTAAATATCTAAGCAATATTATAATAATAAAATAAAAACCTAAATTTATTCAATTCAAAATTCAATTATTCACACAAAAATTTGATATTGTTTTTTTCTGACTTTTCCCTCATTTCTGGAAATAATTTTCATTTCTTTCCTGATTTTTGTAAAATTAAAATTCAAGAGGATTTCAACTGCAAAAAAATATAATTTTTAGAAGCAAAAAATTAATTTAAACCTTTAAGGTTTAAGATCTGAAACCTTTAAGTTTTCTATATTTTAAAAATAAAATTATTTACTATGGCAAACTTTTCTTAATAATTTTCAAAAATTTTTAATAAAATTCTTTAAAAATTTAATTACTTTTAATGAAATTTTAAAAAATTTCAATTATAAATTTATTAAAATTCAATTAACATTTAGTAATTTATCATGAATTATCGTTAATAAATAGAATAAATAATAATAAATAGGTTTGAAATATTTTAAAAACCAAATTTTTCAGAATTTTAAATATAACTTTTCGAATCCTTTTAAAATTAACTGAAAGGTTCAATTCTAACTCAATTACAAAATTAAATTAGTTTACATTAAATTTAGACACTTTAATTGAATTGTTCTGAAGAATTTATTTGAATTTTTTTAAAATAATAGAATTTTTAAAAATAATTTTCATTAAAAATTTTAAAAGTAATTGAATTTTATGAAGAATTACTTTCAAGTTTTTAAAATAATCGTGTTTGTTAATAACTGTAATTAAACATTTGATTATTGAATTTTATTACAATTTTTAGGAAATAATTCAATTATTCTCAGAATTTTATTAAATTTTTTTTTAAATAATTGAATTTGTTCAAGGAATTTTATTAAAATATTTAAAATAATTGAATTCTTTCGAAGAATACTATTAAAGTGATTGACAATAATTGAATTCTTTCGAATCATTTATTAAAATTATTGATAAAAAAAATTAATTCTTTGGACTAATCCTTTTGGAGTTTTCGTAAATTATAAAATTCTTCTGAAGAATTTCTTTGACTTCTTTTTTGGAAATAATGTAGATTTTTTTAATGATTTTAATTGAAAATTTTAAATGTAATTGAATTTTAAGAAGAATTTCTATCAAGGTATTAAAATAATCGTATCTCTTAATAATTGAAATTAAAAATTTGATTATTGAATTTTATTAAAATTTTTTAGAAATAATTGAATTTTTAGCTAAATTTTAATCAACTTTTTGAAAATAATTGAATTTTTTCAAGAAAGCTTATAAGAATTTTACTGAAAATAATTGAATTTAAGTAAAGAAAATTATTATTTATGATAATAATAATTGAATTTTTATAAAAAATTTTATTGAAATTTTTAAAAATAATTGAATTCTTTAGACATTTTATTAAATTTCTGTTTAAAGTAATTGAATTCCTGAGAAGAAATTTATTATTTATAAAATTAATTGAATTTTTGCAAAAGAATGTATTAAATTATTATTTAAAATAATTGAATTCTTTCGAAGAATACTATTATAATTTTTTACAATAATTAAATTATTTTGAAGAATTTCTTTCATTTAAAGAAAAAAAAAAGAAATCCATGAAGAATTTCTTTCAAGATTTAAAATCTTGCTACCAAAAACACGATTATTTAGAAAATAATCGTGTTTGTTAACAATTGAAATTAAAAATTTAATTATTGAATTTTTAAAAATTTTTTGAAAATAATTGAATTCTTCGCAGAATTTTATTACAATTATGAAAAGTAATTTAATTCTTTAGAAAGATTTTATAAAAATTTTAATTAAAATAATTGAATTCTTTAGAGAAATTTTATAAAAATTGTACTAAAAATAATTGAAGTCTTGTAAAGATTTTTATTAAAATTTTTGAAAATAATTGAATAGTTTCGAAGAATTGTATTAAAATTTTAGAAGATCATAAATAATAATAAATAACTGACTATGTAGTTTATAAGCGAATTTTTTAAAATATTGAATCTGAAAGTATTAAAAAATTGAAGTTGATATTTAAAAATAAAAAATCTAATTTGCATAATAAGAATAAATTGAATACCACGTTCTGCGCTCGCAGCATTTTCTACTATAAACAACAATATTATGGAAAATAAATGATTTTTGCATGCTTACCCTAGCCTCATACTGCTTTTCCCTCGTCTCAGCAACTTCAGATCGGATCATTTCACCAATATATTCAATAACCATCGTGTGCTTCTCTAAATCCCTTGCTGCATAGAGACCCAAACCCTGAATTTTCGATCTCGCCAAATAAACATTATTTCGCCATTCCTGTTTCATTTTCTTATACTGCGAACTCTTCGAATGTACAAATTGCTTCGAGTAGGGACACGTGGCTTCACCAGCAACATTGGTGGTTGGTTGGAAATTCTGTCGCGCTGATGATCCAGTCCTCTGTGTGTGAGGCCTCTTCCAAGGTAGTTGATTTTTTAGCCTCGCCTCAGTTCTTGCGCTGCCAGTTGGATTAATTGCCAATGGCAGTTCAAGTAGAGGATTTCTACCATATTTAAACCTATAATCAGTCAATGTTTCAATTCCCGGTAAACTTTCCAGTACACGAACAACAGCGGGCTCAGTGAGACCGAAAAGATCCTCGCCAGTGATGTAACGCTGAAAGAGTTGAACACTCTTCTCGTCTCGTCTCAATTGAGCGAGAGGCTCGAGAATTCGATTCCAAACAGCGCGTGGCGATGCATCTCGTAATTCAAGATCCTCCTGTGGAGGCTCCTGAACGAGAACACGAAATTCCGGTTTCCCCGAGACATCGTGAATTGAACAAACGTAACGACAACGCTTATTTAGTGTTCTCATACTCCAGTAGAAGCGGACAATTTTGTAGCCAACTGGGTAAATGTGATTTGGTGTGTGGAAATTTGCGAGTTGATGCGGAAGTAATTGTCCAACGCTGAGGAAAATCAAACTTCCGACTCGGAGAAGATGATTGTGTTCCGAGTGATGCATCACAGAAGCCACTTGTCTATTTTCGTCACGATTCACGTAAACTCGCCTGTATACTGAGAGTGTTGTTAGTTCTTCGTCTTTGTCGTTTTTCGAGGCGTGTTGAGAGCAAAAGGTGTTCTGAAACAATCACATTCAATTGTAAACATTCATTTAAATGATTATTCAAACTTTAACTAAAATATTTCAATATATTTTAATTTTTTATATTATATTAATACGATCGAGTGATAGAATCAATCTTATAATTTTAACTAAAATATACATGCTTTTTTGTAAAGCGTTAAATAAATATTTGTATAAACAGAGTTGCAACAAAAATTTGATTATTATTAATTTTTTATTTAATTAATTTAGTTAATTAATTAATTATTATTAATTTATTAATTTTAATAAGTATTTATTTGAAAAATTAATTAAGTTCTGAATTTGAAATAAAAAATTAGATTTAAAAATACAATAAAAAATAAAAATAGCAAATATTTAATTATTTAGTGTTTAAATACCTTGCTCTTGAAGAAGACACAATTATCTTTAACAGCACAGCCAAGATGATAGTAATTGGTGCATCGAGTTTTGTAGCATCTGACAGAAGCGCCTGGTTTCTCGCAAACAACACAATTCAGCGTGAGAGTGTGCTGTAGAGCTTCATCAAACTGCATCAGTGCTCCATTCACCGTTTCGAAGACTTCTTGCGCCCAAAGAGCACAATTAAGATGAACCCATTTATCCACATCGAAATTTAATAAACGAGCAGGACCGTCGGCAGCGCCGTCACCTTGATTTTGACAAAAGATGCAGCGCCTCGTGTCTTCAGCTTTCGCTGGACTCACAGTCACTCCCATTCGGAAAAGCATCTGAAATTTCATTTTCAATTCAATTTAAATATTTAATATTTATAATTTTTATTTATATAATTATAATTTAATTCCAATTAATTAAACTAAAATTATAATCAAATTTCCATTTTTCGAAAGATTAATTAGATAAATATTCGATAGTATTTGAGTAGAGAATTTAACAAACCTCGGTGATTTCACGTTCATTAAGCTTCTTATATTTGGCAGATGGTTGTAAAACACCGGCAGACCAGACCTTGTAGCGATCACCCTTATGAACTTTAACTGGCGGTGGTGGTGGTTCATTAGAATTTACCATCGGTTCATCCAAAACTGAAATCGACCGCTTCTTGCCAAAACGTCCATCTTGCAGGTCAATTTCGCTTTTACATCTGTCATAGTCAGGTAATAATCGCTTCAATCGCAGAGTATTCTCATCACGATCCAGCGATCCTTTTCCGAAGAATTTCTTCTCCTGGAACTTCTTCAGATTCTCCTCAATGAATTTGCTGTCCGTCTTTTGACTGAGGTGATCCACAATTGCTGCCGCCTGCAAAATATTTGCAAATAAATTTTACAATACTTGGTAGAAATTTACAAAAATATTTACAATATTTACGATAAATTAACTTAGAAAATAAAAATAAAAGAAGATAACAAGTAGAAAAGTATAGTTGCTTATAAAATTATAAATTAAAAAAATAAAAGCAGATAGGAAGAAATAGAAAAGAAGAAAGAAAATTGAAAAAAAACTTGGAAATTATTTTAAATTATTTTCAAAATTAGTTTTTAAGTTTTTTTTCAATTTTCTACAATTATATAAAAAAAGAAATCAGAAGACGAACCTTATCTTGAGAAATGTTACAAGTTTTGTAAATAACGGAAAATTGAAAGTAACATTCAGCAGAACAAAAGCAGACTTCATCGCCAGGTTCCAGATCATCTTTACTCATTAGAGAAAACTCCGAAACTCTTTTTCTAATTAAGGTATTGAGAATAACGACATCGCAATGTCGGCAAAATTTGGCAGCTCCATTTAAAATACTTTGAATATCAATCGGTGCTGTAAATGAAAAAAACATTTTTTTAATTAAATTTCAATCAAATTTCAAAATTTAAAATAAGAGGAAATTTTAGTTAGAGAAGAAATTAAAACATACCTCCTTCCTTTCCGTCTTTTCCCTTAGTTCGATAAAGACCCAATTTCTGACTAGGTGGAGTGGTAGTGCGTTCTTCAATTTGATAATCCGTGGGTGCAGGACAGTTCAAAATATTTGCCAAATCTTTAAGAACTCCCAAAATGTCATCGGATGATTGACTATTCAAAGTCACAGTGACATTGATGTTTCCAGTCTCTTTTGTTGGTGTCGGAGACGTTTTTCCCATTCTAAAAAATTACAAATTTGATTAAAATAAAATTTTAAAATGAAAATAAAAATAATAAAAACAAAGTCTATTTCTTATTTTTCTCATATAGGGATTTAAGGCAAAAGAGATGTAAAGCAAAATTTGTAGCGTCAAGAAATAAATTCTATTCTAATTAAAAACAAATAAAAATAAAAACAAAGTTATAATAATAATAATTAAATAGTCGCTCTTGTTTAAATAATAATTATAATAATATCAGGCCTCGGAATTGCTTTTACCTGGAAGTTCCTAAATTTTCTTTATCATTATTAGCAATCTCCTTGATGAATGATCCCGGTCCGGCTCGAATCGGAACAGGATTAAGTAACGGTATTGGAGGTGAATATCGATTTTGATTTTCCGAATCATCATCGGACTCGTCATCCATAATAACTCGGAGATACGGAAACCTGTGAAGTGTGTCAGGAATCACGCATTCAGGAGATGAGGAACTAACAACAGTGTCTGGAGTGTCAATGTCTCTCGTCGCTGACATATTGTCCTTCCTGTCATCTATTGATAAAGAAAAATTATTAAAATTATTAATAAAAAAATTAATACAGAAAAATAATTACATTTTTTAATTTAGTTTGTATTTAAGTTTAATTCAAATTTAAATTCAAATTTCTATTTAAATTTCTATTTAAGTTTAAGTTTAATTAAAATTTAAATTCGAAGTTATATTTAAATTTATATTTAAGTTTAACTAAAATTTTAATTCGAATTTCCATTTCAATTTATATTTAACTTTAATTACAATTTAAACTATTTTTCTAAATTTAGAAATTTATTATTTAGGTATTTATTTTTTTACTGTTAAAAAAAAGAGTAAACTTACTATCGTCAAATTTCAATGGGGGAAATTCTTGATCGTAGAATCCCCTTTGCGTAGAAACTGGCGGAACAGGTGGCAGGGGATCCAATTCGCCGAAGGGTTGAGTATTGTAATGATCAGAAATACCGGATATTCTTGCACTTCCATAAGAGCCAATTAAATCACCTGTTCTTGTATTGTAATCTTTTGCAGTGCCAATTTTCGATAAATCCCCAGATCCAAAAACAGGACACACGCCATAATTTCTACTGAGGAGTGGTTCCAGTACAGCCATTCCTGGTAATTGTCTTAATTGTAACATTACATTGTCGATATACGTATCGTAATCCTCAACTAAACGTGGCTCCTTTCTTGCACGTTTCTTTTGCGGACCCATGACTGCGTCCTTTCCCTGACTTTGTCTACGTTTTTGCTGATACTGTCTTCTTTTCAACTTTTTGAGATCTACAACAAAAGCGACGAGAAATATTATAATAAATAAAAGTAAGAAATGAAAATTGTATAAAATGTAAATAAATTAAATAAGAAATATAAATAATTAAAATAAGAAATATAAATAATAAAGTAAGAAATATAAACAATGGCTTTTAATTAATTTTTCCAGTTTTGCTAATATGAACAAAAATAGTAAAAAATTGGATAAATGCCCTAAAAATTTATAATCTCAAATTATCAAAATTACAACCTGACCGAAAATCTAATTAGCGAATTACTAGTTTTCAGAACATTTTTTTACTACAATTAGAAATTTTCATTGTTTCCTTTTTTAGTAATTGGTAAACAGCAAAATTTTCTATTATTTAAAATTTGACATTAGGATATTTTTGTTTTTAATAATAAATAATGAATAATTATTATTTATCTGAATTTTTAATTTTCCAAATTTTTAGCAAACCATGAGACTGAAGTCCGCCACATTTTTCAAAAAACAAAGAATCAAAAAAGATATTTTTTTCAAATTAAATTTATCTCTAATTTTTAAGTGCATAAATTTTTTAGAAATAGTTACTTAATAATTGTTAGTTAGAAGATAATTGCTCAAAAATAACATGGATTTGAAGCTAAAATAAAGTAAATCGTCGCCTCATTTTTTCGTTTTCAAAAAAAAAATTGCGGACTTCAGCATCATTATCAAACAAATAATAATTATTTAAATAGAATTTTCCTTTTCAAATATTGACTACATCACAAATTTCGACAAAAATTTCAAACATTTTTTACAAAAGAAGGATATAATTTTTATAACTTTTATACATTTGATTCTGAAATAATTGAATTCTTGCGAAGAATTTTGATAAAACTTCGAAAATAATTGAACTCTTTTAAAGAATTATATTAAAATTTTTTCGAGGAATTTAATTAAAATTGTATTGAAAATAATTGAATTCTTATAAAAAATTACATAAAGATTTTTGAAAATAATTGAACTCTTGCAAAAAACCTTATTAATTTCAATTATTTCCAATACATTCTTAATGAAACCTTTAAAAACAATTCAATTATTTTTTAAGATTTTAATAACAAATTTTTGCAAATAATTAAATTATTTTCAGGAAAATCGAAAAAAAATGTTTATTCATATTATTTTTTTTCAGTTAGACTTGTATTAAAAATAATTGAATATTGAGAATAATTGAATTGTATCGATAAATTTTATTAAAAGCGAATTTAAAAAGTAATTGAATTCCGGAGAATTTTATTAAAATGTCTGAAAATTATTAAATTCATTCGATAAATTTAAATGAAAATGCTTATTAACATTGCATCTAAAAATTAATTGAATTCCTGCGAAGAATTTTATTAAAAGTTTTGAAAATAATTGAATTTCTACGAAGAATTTTATTATTTACGAAAATAATTAAATTCTAATCCAGAATTTTATTAAAATTTTCAAAAGCAAATTGAATTGTTTTGAAGATTATTTTTTATTATCATTTTTTAAAATAAAACAATAATTATAATTAATTTGTCAATAAAATCGTTAATAAGTGATTTTTTTTTAAATTTTTGAATCTGAATTTATTCAAAAACTGAAGTTGAGATTTAAAAATAAAAAATTCAATACGTAATATTTGACAGTTACTTTAATAAAATCAAAGAAATTAAATATTTACCTAAATAAGAATTTATTTTTTAAATGAAAAATTATTTTTAAAATTTTAAATTTGGAGAAAGTATCAAAAGAATAAACTTTCATATGCATGTTCAACACTTCAGGGTCATAATAATTATTAGTTTAATAAAGATTTAGACGATTAAGAATTCTCATAAATTATAATTATGTTGATTATAAAATATAAATTATTAAAAACGAAAAATATAATATGAAATTCTAAATATTTATAATTTTGGAAATTAAATAAAATTTAATAAATTTTAGATATTAAAATATTTACTGTTTTACAAATAGCAAATACTAAATATTTTAATATCCAAATTTATTTTTACTCGACTTGAAAGTACAGTAAATTAATATTATTATTTTTTTATTTATTGGTGAAGTGATGATGAATATTGGTGAATAAAATTATTTATTAGAATTCGCCTATTAGATTTTGGAAAAATGGTAATTTTGAAAAATTTTGATTATATTTTAACAGCAGAAGAATAAAATAATGTATAAGGAATAAAAAATGGTAAAAGAAAAAAAAAGAAAAGGAGAGTTAAGAAAAAAAAGAAAGTTAAAGAAAAACAAAAAATTAAAAGAACTAACCATTTTTGTCATCGATGGTTCCATCAACGAGCTCTTCTTTGGCAGGAAGAAAGTCTTTGGTATCGTTAAGTTGAACAGAGTTACCACCAGGGAGAACTTCGTCAAGAATTTCTTTCTTCACTTCCATCAAAGGCACTGTGTGTGACGTAATTGTACTTAGTGGCATCTGAGCTTGAGGACGACTTAAAGGATGAGTCGTCGTTTGAGGCACTGTCGGTTGTATTGTACTAACAACTGGAGACTGAGATTGCTGAACTGGAGTCGGAGGTTTCGGGGGAAGAGTCAATTGCTGCTGTTGTTGTTGCTGTTGCTGCTGATGCTGTTGTTGAGTTTCACTAACAACAGCCTGCGTAATCGAGGGAGTTGAAAATTGTTGAGCCGTTTGCACGAGATTGGAAACCACTTCCGAATTTGATAAAGCTGCTTTAAGAGCAATTGTCGTAACGATTGGCTTTGTCTGTAAAATATGTCTCGCAACAGTCACTGGAGTCGTGGCTCTCTGCTGCGCCTGAGAGACTTGAGCAATCACTTCAGAAGTTGATACAATTGAAGATTGTGAAATATTTTCCAGTGGCGTTGCCATTGAACTGTCGGCACTTGTAGGCGTTGTGTGCGATAGTGTTTTGGTAACTGATGTCGTGATGTTGGTCTGATTACCGGGAATGCTTAACGAAAGATTCTTAATATGCTGATTGTGGATCTGTTGCTTCGCCAGTGTTTCCAGTGATCGGGCGATAGTTTGAACGTTTAAGGAAGACGTTGTTACTGGTAATTGTGAAGATGAATTTTTCGGTGTCTCTTCTTTCGGTGTTGTTGCCTGCATTTTTGGTGTTGTGATTGCGTGCGAGACAAATGAGGTTTCTTTCGTTAGAACTTGTTTCGTTGGTGGTGTTTTACTCACTGGGGGTTCGTTTAATAGTGGAGGGAGTAAGGAAGACGGAGTTGGAGGCACGGGTCTTGCTAATTGAGCTTCTAGTGATGGTACCAAGGGTAAACTTGGACCTTGACTGCTTGATGACGATAGGGTTGTGGTGGCGCAGGCTGTATTCTGCAAAAGTTGTTTTAATAGAACATTTTGCGATTCCTCCAGTCGATGTGAAGTTGCTCCAATTTTATTGATTTCAGAATCGAGTCTCGAAGTTGATGATGATGATGAATTTTCATTTGAATGCAATTTTGATTGAAGTCCATCTGGTTCTTTCTTGATTGTTGAGCTCATTGGTAACGCATCGGGCTCGACATTTTTACTGTCGATTGGCAATGATCCAGTCTTGAATTGTACATCGCCCGATGTCAATTGCGAGTGCAATAAAGTTGGTGCTTGCGATAAAGTTGATTGCAGAATGCTAGTGGTAACATTCACTGGTGTTGATGTTGCTGTAACCATTGGCGGCACTATTGTCCGGACACATTGCATTGATGAACTCACCTACGGAACGATAATAATTTTCATTATTGCTTTATAAAACAAAATTACACACATTAATTAATTATTTAACACTAAACAATAAAATCTATATTAATAATTGTTGTATTTCGGTAATTTCTTCGCAGTTGTATTTATTAAATTTAAATAAAATTATAAAAATGAAAAATAATTATTTTATTCTTAATTTAAACACTTTTGTTTAATTATTTATTATTAGTTAATTACTCTTCAAAAAAATAAAGTAGAATCGAATTAATAATAAAATGTAAACAGTGCAAGAAAAATTTAGAAATTATGTTATTTTTCATAAATTTAAAAATTTTTTTTCAACTTTTCGAAAATAAACAAGAATTTAATTACAATTGTATTGAAAGTAATTGGATTATTATAAAGAATTTTATCAACATTTTTGAAAATAATTGAAATCTATTCAAGAATTTTATTAAAATTTCTGAAAATAATTAAATTTATTCGAGAAATTTAATTAAAATTGTATTATTATAAAGAGTTTTATCAAAATTTATGAAAAAAATTGAATTCCTGCGAAGAATTGTATTATTTATGAAAATAATTGAATTCTTGTCAAGAATTTTATTTAAATTTCTGAAAATAATTGAATTTTTGCCCAAAATTTTATTTAAATTTCTGAAAATAATTAAATTTACTCGAGAAATTTAACTGAAATTGGATTAAAACTAATTAAATTATTAGAGAGAATTAAACAAATTTTTTGTAAATAATTCAATTCATGCAAAAGAATTTTATTAAAATTTTTGGAAGTAATTAAATTTCTGCGGAAGTATTTTATTATTTATCAAAACAATTTAATTCTTGCAAATGGATTTTATTAAAATTTTAGAAAATAATTGAATTCTTGCCGAGAATTTTATTTAAATTTCTGAAAATAATTAAATTTATTCGAGAAATTTAACTGAAAATGTATTAAAACTAATTGAATTATTGCAAAGAATTAAACAACTTTTTTTGTAAATAATTAATAATTGCTTTCCGCCGTAGCGAGGTTTGCCTGTAATTGAATTTCTGCGAAAATAGTTTATTATTTATCAAAACAATTTAATTCTTGCGATGAATTTTATTAAAATTTTAGAAACTAATAAATAATAATTAATTTTTTATTAAATGAGCGTTTTAATAATATTATTGTTAAATATTATTATATTATTATTAAAATAATTAATATACTGTTAACAACACTTGAAAATTTGTGAATTGTATTCCTTTAAAATACTCCTAATGATAATTAATTAGAACAGTAAAATAATAATTTAAATTCATTTATCTAAATACAAAAATAATTGGTAAGTTAAAAAAATTAGTTTAACTGAATTTCTTAATTGAATAAATGTTGAAAACTGTTCTTCGTTAAGATTCTTATCGACTGGAATGTCAATATAGAAACGTTCTTATCTACTTTCGTGAATTGGGGACAAGTTTTTGTATACTTGATTAGAAAAAGAGTTACACATGAAAAGTTTTTTTTCCTTCATAAATGTCACACTTGTAAGTGTACAAATAGTGAAGAAAATAATATTTATGAAAACTAAATTTTGAAATAAAGTGGTAAAGTAGTAAATTCTTAACTTAAGAAACGACATTCAAGTCATTCGTTTATAACAGTAAAGCAAAACGATACAGAAATAATTATATTGTGTAAAATAAAAATAATTTTGATATGAAACAAATTTTATCAGCAAAGAAAATTAAAAAATTACAAAGAAAAATACAGAGTTTAAAAAAAGAAAATTAAAAAAAAGACAGTGGTTAAAATTTTTAGTTTATAACACACCTTGAGTTGTGTGCAAATTATTTTGTTTATAATACTCAACTCACAAGGATGCAATATTTCGTGTTGTGTTTAATTAAAAATAATTTTTCGCTAATTTAATTCAACGTTATTTGACATGAAGTCGTTATTCAATAATTGTGTTTCAATCGAAATTAATTAAATTTTTAACGCAAATAACTTTTGAATTAGTTTTATAGATTGAATCAATCAATTAAAATCAAAGTAATCGACGAATAATTGTTACTGTTATTAATTTCGATAAAAACATAATTTGATTATAAATTAAATTATTAAATAAATTATTAATTAAATTATTAAATAAATTATTAATTTAATTTTTAATTAAATTATGTTTTTAGCAAAATTAATTAAATTCTAACTTTTAATTAAAATTATTCAAAATTAAAATCCTGTACTTTTGATAAAATTCCCTAACTTTTTCCCAATTTCCCTGACCAATTTTACTTTCCCTAATTTTTTCCTGAATTCTCTAATTTCCCTGACCTGTGGCAACTTGAATGAAATTCTAATTAAATTTTTAATTAGCTTCATTTAGTTTCAGATGATAATTAAAATTAATTTTTGAAATTAATGACTAAAACAAATTAAAATTTAAATGATAAAAAACTCACCGCAGCGGAAGTGACATTAACGAGAACTCGCGACGGTACAGAAGAACAGGTGGAACTCACTTGCAGAATTGCCTGAACATTCTGCGCTCGCTGTATAGACGACGAAGGCATGACAGAACTTAGTAAATTACTTGTATGAGTCAAATGTGTATTAGCTCTTCCAGCCATTGTTGGCTTCGCTGAATTGGTTCCAGCGAGCATTGCATTCAACATTGCATTTGAAGTGATAGAAATTCCAGTTGGCCTTGGAGCAGTATTAGTTGGCGTATGAAGTGCAATTGTACTCGGCTGTGTTTGAATTCCACTGACAGTCACTCGTAGAAAATGATCCGATGGCAGAGATTTCGCTAAATTCGACACTAAAGTAACAGCTGAATTACTCTCCTTCATTTGTTGGGCATTCGTTGAGACAATAATTTCCGATTCCGATTTTCCATGAACAGTGCTCGTTATAACGGGTGTTGTTTGTAGACGATTTCCACTCACTCCTTGTAGATTCATCGACACCAGTGGTGCGGGAATACTACTCGTCGTCGCAGTGCTTCCTGATTTTGTATTTCCGATTGATGGCGAGACGAGAGTCACGATATTTGTTGCTGTTGTTGAGTGACTTTGGGAATGATTCGATTGGTACGAGGAGAGAAGATTCCTAAGTTGTTGAGAGCCGTTTTTGATGTTTTGAGTGAGATCGGAAGGCTTCGAGAGGGGTGAGTGATGGGAAACGGAACTCGTGGTTCTTTGTAATTGAGCTACGGTTCCGATGGATTCCCTTCGTTGACCCACTTGAAGCGGTGTTTCTCGTGATGTTTGTCGAGGTCTCTCTTGTCGGTCACTAGAAGTTCCCTGGTCCAAATCCGTTGACGAATCCTGAAGAATGTTGGCCGGTAGGGTACCGGAAGGTGTCGGCACTTGATAATGAAGGTTACTTTTCGGTTTCTCCGCATTCGCCATCTCTGGTTTCAGGGATATTATCCCGTCCAGCAGATCTAGTATTTCGTCCGGTGACTCCTCCATAAGGATTTTTTGCACTGCGGCAGTCTTTCTGGAGAACGCGTCCTGACTGTTGAGGGAAATTGGATTATTGTTCGTTTCCGTTTTCATCTTTTCATTCTCCGACTTTTCTTCTCGCATTTCATTGACTGGTTCGGAATCGTTCTCGAGGATATGAACGAGAGATTCGTCGTCCTCAGTGACGGGGGAAATGTGTCTACCTTGGAAGGAGTTTTCCATACTCGGAGTGTTGGTGTCATCTTTCTTCAAGTTCCTCTCACCGTTCGCAATATTTTCCGCTGGATTATGTAGAGCTGCGAGTTCGAGTTCCAATTCGTCAGTGGTATTTGAAGAATCTGTCTTCCTCTCCTCGATGAGTCTCTCGACCAGTTTCGATTCTTTGGGTACTACTTTCTCGACTTGAGATTTTCGCTCAATGTGATTTTCCTTCTTCTTTTCCTCGTCACGTGAGGTGCTGGCTTTCGAGTCGACTAACTTCAACACAGGATCTTTTTTTGTCAACGCTTCTGGAAGGAGCATTTTTGATGTGGACATCAAACTGGAGGTTTGTAGTTTAGGAATATTTATTTTTGGTGTAATGTCCGGTTTGATGGCTTTGGACACTTCTTCGATTGTTTTCTCTATTCCTGTTTTTAGCGAGACTGGCGGTGCGTCGGCTTTTGGATCTTTCAGATAGGTGCCTTTTAAAGTTGCTTGAGTGAGTCTAGCGGCAATTTTCGCGTCCGTTACTATAGAACCCATGGTTAGTCCTCCTCGATTTTGATTATCGAATGTTTCCTTCGAGCTGGAATAGGAAGAGAATGTATTCGACTTCGCAGTTGGTGGTTTATCGATAACATTTGTCGTGGCATGAATGGAAGATTTCGCTGAGAATGGATTAACTCTCGAGGAGACGATCGTCACTGTAGACACTTGAGAGTTTGAGGCACGTCCACGTTGTTCTGGTTCGTGGTACAATTTCGGCTTCTCTAAAATGGATTCCAAAACTTTTGTTTCCTGGACTTTGATTTTTTCAATTTTGTTCACTTCGTTTGGAATAGATTCCTTTAGTTTTTCCTCGATGATTTTGTTTACAGGATCGGGTCGAATGTCTTGTAGTTTGCCTTTGCTTGGTGGTAGATTTTGAGTTTGAGGTAAGATGGTGTGTAGTTCCTCTTGATCGGACGATTCCGGTGTGTCTGTGATGGGGGCAAGACGTTTGCCGGTTTCGACAGACTTGACGAGATTTAGATGTAATTCCTTTTTGTTTCTCAAATGCATCACGTCCTCATCAGCGAGATTTACCTCAGGTTGACTTTCGGTTGGTTCGAGACCCAGGATTTGCATCTGCAGATTGTGATTCTGATTACTGTCGTTAATGAGTGCGTTACTGAGAGAGTCGTTACTGTCGATTAGGACCATGTCCTGGGCGAAAAGTCCGTTTAGAGTGTATTCGTCCTGGTTGTCGGCTTCCAAGGGGCATATCACGTCTTCTAGATTAGCGTCGCCGAATTGTTCAATGTCGTTGATGTCGTCATTATCGCCCTGCGCTGCGGAACTCAAGGTCACTTCTGAATTGACGACATTCTTGTCGTCGTCATAGTCGGTTGTGTCGGGCATTGGTTCCAGTTTATCGTTCGGACTGCTTAGAGCGCTGTCGGTCAGGGAGGTTGTCGCCTTGGGTTCGATTGTAAGCGGCGAAGTTTGTGGCGGAGTGTGTGAATCGTCGTCGAAATCATTGTAATCCGCACAGACTAGAGAATTTTTAAGTGAAGTTTTTCTATGCACGAGAGAAGGGGGATTTGGTTTCTCATCGATACTTAGAGTTGGTTCGCTTGTTTTGCCCTTGCTGGTCTCGGGTTTCGTGGACCACATGGGTGATCCGCCTCTGAGTCCCAATTTGAAGTAGCCAAATCTACCGAAACTGGGAGGCAACGGTAGGGGATTGATTGGATTGTGTGGATTTCCTCCGCCTCGCGAGTGATCTATGGTATTTTGATCTTGTTGTTGAATTTGTTGATCGTGACTCATGGTGCTTTGGGAGTAATTCCCGTGCGGAGTGTGAGGTGTGTGGGGAGTTCGCGGAGTGCCTGGATTCTCGACACTCTGGGGTCTGTCGGGCATTGCCGGACTATTGCCACTGGATTGTCTTCTCTGCATTTGCATTGGCGAACCTCCGACCATTGGACTGCGGGGCATTGGCGAGTTTGGCGTTTGACAAGGCGGTGGATGGTGAGAATTGTTCAACTGATGCTGAAGCATCGGAGAGGTGGAGGGATGATTGTGAACTCGAGAGCCCATGGGACTTGGAGGTTGAGACGACTGATTGAGTTGTTGTTGAATCATTGGAGATCCCATTGTTTGCACCACTGGACTACGGGCTAGCGGAGAACTCGGCGGTTGTTGTCCGTAGTTTTGTTGTATTTGCTGATGAAGTTGTGGACTCGGAGAACTTACTGGTTGATTAACCATGGGAGATGTTGGCGGCTTTTGCAACATGTGCTGCTGTTGCATTTGTTGTTGTTGTTGAATTTGCTGTTGTTGCAACTGTTGCTGTTGTTGAATTTGCTGCTGCAGCTGATGGGTCTGCTGCAAAGGCTGTTGTTGTAAAGTTTGCTGCTGTAAAGTTTGTTGTTGTAAAGTTTGCTGCTGCTGTAAATTTTGCTGCTGTAATGTTTGTTGTTGCAAATTTTGCTGTTGTTGCAAAGTCTGCTGCTGCTGCTGCAAAGTTTGCTGCTGAAGTTGCTGTTGGTTTTGCTGCTGCAACTGCAAAAATTGTTGCCGCTGCTGCTGTAGCAATTGTTGTTGCTGTTGTTGTTGTTGCTGCTGCTGCAAGAGTTGCTGTCTGTGTTGGACCAGTAAAGTTCTCTGAGTGATGTTGGTTTGATTATCCTGAGGAACGACTTCGTGTTGCTGTTGAATCATTTGCTGCCGGTGAAGCATCTGCTGATGTTGCTGTTGAGTCAATATTGGTTGTGGCTGTGGTTGTGGACTGCCAAGCGGAGATCTTTGTCCGTAAACAATGCCGGCTTGTAAGGTCATTCTAGGTCGTTGATTTATTTCTCCCACGGCTGGTGGACGAACGAAGCGTTGCGTAATGCCGTGCATTCGAATGTTCTGTTCACCTATTATCTGTTGGGGTGATCGAGCGTCGGTGGTGAATGCCCCGGGACTCGTGGTGAGTCTCCCGGTGATGACTGCTCGATGTTGGGGTGATGTCATCCTCGTGGCTGCGGGCACACAAATTCCAGGAGAAGGCATGGCTCCAGGACTGAATGGACTCTCGTCTCCTTGTGACAAAGGAGTTCCAATTCTTGGTGATGGCTGCATGTTGTGAGGTGACATCGTACCGGGATTTGTTTGTGAATTTCCTGGACTGTGTTGTAGCATTGGTGGATTTGGACTGTGTTGCACGATAGAGTTTGCCGGTGAATGCTGAATCATCGTGGAAGAAGCACTTCCAGGACCTGGACTGTGAGAAACAAGCGCTGCTGGACTGCTGAGTGGTGACGAGTGTTGAGACGGTGACATCATTGGGGAACATGATTCATTTGATTGAGGCTGTAGTTGACGTTGTTGTTGTTTACTGTGATACTCCTGCATCAGCATTCCGTGTTGACGAGTTTGCTTTCTACTTGCGTCCAAGTGTTTTTGCAGAATACCTTGTTCACTCGTAATACGCACCAGTTCAGCGTTATCGTTTTCTGTTAATTCATTACCCGATTTACGCAACTGACGTTGTTTGCTGTTCAGAGACTGAAATGAAGAATTTAAGTTTTAAATTTGAAATTTAATATTTAATTTAATTTTATAATTAATTTTATATTTTATTTCAATTTCGATTATAACTAATTTTCCTTGATTTCTACCTTCTTGAGTTTGCGGAGTTTCTGAACTTCTGTTTCGTAAAACTTAAGTTGTTGTCCGAGTATTTGATTCTGGTGATTTAGCCACTGCTCATATTGCAATTGTACTTGACGATCTTGTTCAGTAATAATATTTTCCGGAGGAGCTGGTGGCGCTGGGAGTTGAGGTATATTAAACGTCACGATACGTGCTAAAATAGAAAATAGTTTTTATTTATTAAATAATAAATACTCTCTAAAAAATTATATTTTTTTTCTTTCTTTTCTAATTTATTTTTATTTATTTATATTCTCTCCAAGTAGAAAATCTCAATAAAAATACTAACATTCAGGTGGTGTTTGAGTGGAAATAGGTTGTCTTGCAGCTTGAACGGTTAATTTGCTCGCATCCGGCGTTGCTGGAGACCAATTTGCTCCCGGTGATGATGGTGGTCGTGGAACGCAAGCTGGCCTTATGGCAGTCACTCCACCAGTGACAGTTGCAATTCCTTGAGGCGGTGAAGCAAGGGCTTCAGCTCTCAGTCTCTCAAATTCACTGTCACTCAATAGAGCTCCACTCGGCGTTGTCGTATCAGCTTGCTGTTGTTGCTGCTGTTGCTTTTCTTGTTCACGTTTTTCTTGTTCTAAAAGCTCCTCCAGTAATAAAGGTTGCTCCTGTGAACACGACTGCTAATCGTTAATATCAATCCCTAACTCGTTTTCACATTTAAATCACAAATGGAATACTTTGCAATGGATTAATAAAAAAAGTGGCAACAAAAAGCATGCAAAAGCTTTAACAAAATTTAATTTTTAAAATAATATAGTAACAAAATTTCATTTTTGGAAATAATTTAACTTAATTCAAAAACATATTTTTTCTAAAATAGAAAAGTAAAACATAATTAAAAAATAAATAAAAGGTTTACTACAAATTTAGAATTTCTCCTGAATATCTTGTAGAAATTAGAAATTAATTTATGTATAGAATATAATGGAGCAAAACTACTATCATTTCAATAATTCTGAATAAGCATTTTCCGTTTTATTCAATTTCGAAGATATTCAGTAGTATTTTATTTGACAAAAAAGAGAGAAAAGTATAAAAACAGGTTTCTTCTCGTGGGGTTTGTGCATATTCGGTAGACAAGGATGTGAGTTAATTTGATTGAATGCCCGCGTCTTGCTCACCTGCAGAAGCAAAGGCCTTCGTTGAGGATGAGGTGACATTGTTGGCGTACCGGTATGAACGATAGGGACCATAGGTGGGCCCGGAACTGGCACTTGGTGCCCTATGTGAATTGGGGGCCGCGTCAAACTCCGCTCACCTGGGCATAGCCCCATCTAGACATGCACCAACACCATTGCATTGCATTGCATACACTCAGGCCAAATACCATTATACCAGCCAATGCTCATTGTTATTAAATCACTCATCTACATTTACACTCGTACCGGGTATTTTTTATATCAATATATTCCTTTTCTATTAATTTTTAAGGCATTTAATTAAGAAAACATTACAACTAGATAAATCAGATTTTGAAATGAATATTGCTAAAATTTCTATTATTTCTTTTGAGTTCTTCTGACGAATAAATAAATTTTCTTTTAGAGACAAATTGCTTGATCGAATTTATAATTTTGCGAGAGGGTAAATTTTTAAAATTAGTTCAAGTTAAAAATTTGTTAATATGAAAATTAATTTTCAGGCAAAACATTATTTTCTGCATATGAATAATATTTGAGAGAAACTCTAACCTGTATAGGTCCTCGATATGGAGGTGGAGGTCCTGGATAAGGAGGCGGTGGTGGAGGTTGCAAAGGCATTCGTGGACCAATCATATGACTGACGGAAACTATTCTCCCTGCTACATTCTGAACTCCGGCGACTCTCATTCCGAGTCGTTGATGTTGTTGAACTATAAAAAGAATATTAACATTTAAATTAATATTATCTTAATAATTTAAAAACTAATATTTGATAAATCAAAATTATATAATCAAAATATTAAACATTGAAATTATTCGAATTACCTTGCATGTGCGTTTGAGCAAGGCGTTGAGGATGACCAGGGAAGGTCGATGGATAACTGACAGTAACAGTATTTGTCGAAGTGACGACACCAATAGTGCCATCAGGTGCGAGTAATCGAGTTCCTGGAGCCACTGGTCTTCCCATTGCAGCCGCTGTTTGCAAGTGTTGATTCAGTTGCTGTATCGCTGCTTGCGGATGACTTTGCGGTATAACACCAGCCGATGGTTGAGCAGTTTGTGCCGCCGGTGCAATGCCTTGAACCGTTTGCGTTGGAGCAGAAGTTGTCTCCGTTGGAGTTTGTACAGTGCTCGTTACAATTTTCTCATTCGATTCCGTATGCGCTCTAGTTGTTCCTCCCAAATCTTCAGGTTTCGGCTCCACTTTACTGTCCTTCTTTTGTTTCTCTTCCTTTGGTTCAACTTCCACTTGCTCTAGATCCAAATCAAGAATATTTGTCTTTCCACCTCCTGTCAAATTGTCCAACTCAGGATCCGCGTATTCCAAAATGTTGAAGTCAGCCCCCATTTCAGCTGGAGATTTAAAGTGAAATAAATTAAAATTAAAAAAGTGAAATCAATAAAAATTTCAATTATTATTATTAGTTTGTATTATAATTATTATTATTATTACTTACCGAGAAGTTCATCGTCATCTTCGCCCAAGTCTCCTAATATTGCACTTACGCTCTCGACCTCTCCCAGAGGAGCTTCTCTCTCTTGCTCGAGTTCCTCTAATTCGGCTGTGACATTATCTGGTATTTCGGAAGCTTCCGGAGCATTTACGTTGGTTTCGTTTACTCTGGTAGAAATTACAGGCGGTCTGATCATGCCCTGAGCGCCCAACATTCTTATTCCTTGACTGAGTGCGTCCGGGCCTGCTCTCACAATACGTTGCGTTATCTGTCCTTGATTGGGTTCAGAGAATCTTTGTTGCTGTATGACTTCGTAATGTTCCTGTAGAGCAGCTCTAGGACCAGGTAATCGCTGTAGAACTTGGTTGCTTTGGAAGTGCTGTTGAGGTACACCAACAGACACGGGTGGTCTCAAAAGTAGTCTAGTTCGTGGATCCAGACCCTGAAGTCTCGTTGAATCAAGTTTACCAGCCATCACATGTCTTTGACTCACGCCTGTTGAAGAATTAAAAAAACATTAACTGAGTTAAAAATATAGCCCTCGATATTATTATTAAATTGAGACCTAGGTTCGATTTAAAGAGCAAAATAAATCGTTTCAGTCGATTCAAAGTAAAAAAGAAGTCGAAAAGTCGTTTATTTTGTTCATAGTTATCACAAAAATTCAATTTTGTATTTCCCTGAAATTTTCCTGATTTCTAGGCAGAATTTTGATTATTTTTCTTATCCTGATAATAACTGAAATACATACCAATAGGATTTCGAACAAAAACGTTGGGTTGCGGCATCCTTGGTCTCACGATTCCAGGCGGTAGCGGTTGCCTAAACGTTCCCTCAGCCGATTTTCCCGACAATTGAGGATGTTGAGGTAACTGTATCTGCCCGGTTTCGAATTGTTGCGGTAACACTTCACCAGGATTTTGACCATCTAAAATAAAAAAAAAAGAACATTTGAATTAGTAAAAATATTTGATAGAAAATTTTCAATTTTTTCAACCCATAAAGAAAATAACCTTGAGGCCAGGAAGCACCATGAGTTTCAATCTTTTTACTGAATTGTTGTCTCTGTAGAAGATCTCTCAGCTGTCGATTGACCTCTGGTTGCTGACTGAAAGCCTCGGTTGGTTGAGGCTCGGATCTTGTTTCTGACCTGGGAGAAGGATAATTCGAGACCGGAGATGGTGTTGCGGGTTGACTGATATATGGATCGGGAGTACGCGACGGAGCGTAGACATGTGTCGTGGAACGATTATTATTAGCATTGAAAACGGGACGTGGAGTACCGGGTGGTTGGTTGAAAACGTCATTTCTCGGTGACGTTGCATAAGTTGGAGTACTGACAATTTGCGATCGTGGCGTTTGTGAGCCTTGCGAGAAGGCTTCATTGCTTTCGAAGCGTTGAAAATGCTCTTGAGATTGTGAGGAAGCAGGAGATTGTGGAAAATCGTGAGGCGATTGTGGAGCTTGGGGTGAAAATGGCGATGGAGGCTGGGGAAACGCTGTCGGAATCCCAGGCCTCACGACATTTCCCATCGGTCGCATTCCCGTTGTACAGGTTTGATTCGGTAAACGTGGCATACCTTGGAGAGGAATTTGCGGTGCCATGCCGCGAGTAACTTTTATTGGCGGTGCTGCGAACGTCGCACGAGATCCCGGCGATGGCGAGGCTATTGAAGATATCTGATTTGCTTCCTGCAGGAAAAGAAGAAAAAAAATTAGCTTCCTCCGTTTCCAAATGATTATTGTATATTAGAAAAAAATATATTTATTCGAAAACTTCGAAATGTTGAGAAAGTTATTTACTCAGGGTTGCCACAAAATTTTGAAAATAATTGAATTTCTGTAATGAATATTGTTATTTATGAAAATAATTGAATTTTACAATGAATATTATAAAAATTCCTGAATATAATTAAATTTTGGCGAAGAATTTTGCTATTTATAAAAATAATTAAAATGTTGACGAGAATTTTTAAAAAATTTTTGAAAATAATTGAATTTCTGGAAAGAATATTAATGTTTATTAAGATTGTTAAATTCCTTCAAATAATTGCGTTATAATTTTTAAAATTGAAACCAATTTATAAGTAATAACTTTATGGCAGTTCTTCAATAAAATTAAGTTATTTAAAATAAATTATTATCAGAAATAGAAAAAATTTAAGGTTTTTTTTAGAATTCGTGGTAATTTCATAGTTTATGAGACAAACAAAAACACAAAAATTCAGAATTAAAATTTTTCTTAAAAATTCTAAACATTTAATTTTTTCCAGTACTTTTAATAAAAATCCCTGACTTTTCCCTGATCTTTGGCAACCCTGTTACTGTAGTAAACAAAAAATAGTGATAAAAAAATAGTTACTTGAGAAGTGGAGACTTGTAATTGTGTTGTTAATCCTGTTGTTCCGTCTTGATTCATAACTGGAGTGCCATCTTCGTTAATCTGCCTGTGTACTCTCGCCATAGCTGTAATATTATAGTCTAGTTAAAGGAAATAATAAAATACAAGTACTGAGTATAAAATTGTTAAAAGTTTCGGAAATTAAAAAATTTTTCTCTTACCATGAACACGCTGCTCGTGAATAACTTGCTGCTGTAGTTGAGCTTGTTGCTGACGCAAAGCTTGAAGTTGTTTCCATTGTCGTTCTTGTTCGGCTTCACGAGTCGATCTATCCCTGTTCGTAAGCCTTTCCTGCTCCTGTTGGGAAATTTATCTGTTAGTATGAACCTTCACCTGAATAGGCAGCAATAATTATATCTTCCAATTGAAAATAAACAACATTTCATAATTACTAACAAAAATATTTTTTCTCTAAATGCAATTGATTCATTAGTCGAAAAAAAAATTAATAAAATAAAGAAAAAAAGAAAAAAAGAAAAAAAAGAAAAAAAAGAAAAAAAAGAAAAGAAAAATAGAAATAAAAACAAAAGATGTATTTAAATTCGTTTTTCTGATTGATAAAAAGATAAGTGAAATGTTCCTTGCTTTCTAATTGGAAGTTATAATTTTTTCAGTGTCCTAAGCCATTTTAGAAAGAGCATGAGTTTTCTGTGAGGATTAGTTACAAATTGTACACCACACACCGTAATTGATACAAAAAATAAACATGTTACAGTAAATTAATAACACCAGCAAAAAATTGAAGAGCCGTATTGTGCGCAGCAAGTTAAAGAAAAAAAAACCACCACCAAAGAAATATAAAAAACATTGAAAAAGTATATAAAAATTCTTTTTCATGTCAATGAGTGTGATTATATTTCTCAAAAAAAAAAATCATACCACACAGTGTGCATGCATCGTGTTTAGAATAAACACAAGAAAACTCAATTGTATAATATAATTTTCATTTAACAGAATTTGTAACATAGCTCTCTATATTATTTTATTTCTTTGTTTTGTTTATTGCTGTAAAAGCGTGTATTAACGCAATTTTTTGTTAGATGAATTTTAGTGCAAAAACTGTGAACTGTGGAATCTTTTTGGCAGATTATTGAAGATTTGTTGCTTGTTGAAAAAGTTAAAATTTTATGACAAAAAAAAAATTCAGACAATTCTACCTGAAAATAATTGTTTACAATAATTGTGTTGTATGAGTATATGAGAAAAATTCTTTTTTTTTCATTTTGGAAAAGCAAGGAAATTTATATCAAACGCACACATCCACTAAAACTCAAAAGCCAACGACATATTCTTTACATTCATATATAATTATGAAGCATCCGAAACAGAAAAAGAGAAAAAAAAAGAGAGAATGTGAATATAACAAATATTTAGAAAAAAAATAATCATTCATAACATTACTATAGAGCAATACATTTAACTACTTCCACCTACGAAAAAAAAATTTTGTAAACAGCCAAGTACTTAGTTTAGTTTTAGTATTTTATGAAAAAACAAGGATTTTTTTAAGAAACTGAGGAGGAATTTTTTGAGAATTTAGGAATTGAAGTTTTTTTTAGGATTTTTGGTTGTATCGTTTTTTGTGTATTGCCAGATGTCTTTAACATGCCATATTAAGGAATATATATATATATATATGTAGATATCTACCACTGATAAATCATAAATAAAAAAAGATGGAGCCAAAAAAGAAGGTATTTTTCAATAAAAATATTGTCGCCAGCGAAATTTTATAATCAATCAATATATAAACATCAATTTTTCAAGGAAATGAAAGGCTAATAAACTCTGATCATTCCAAGTCATAAACACATATATATAGGAATAATGAAATAACTTAAGGACCATTGCAATTTATACATCAAATGCAATGATAAGAAAAAAATTCTATAAATAATGGTTGCCACTTAAAGAAAATAACGGAGAAAGCAATAATCAAATCAAAATTTTTATTACCAAAAACAAATTGGAAAATATGTTTTCAGTCGAAAATAAAAAAAGAACAAATTTAAAATAAATTTTTAAATAATTTAATATTTTAAAACTCGATTTATTTAATGTTATTTAGCAAGATAAAAAAATTTCAGTATTTTTTAATTTTAAACTTAAATTTTTTACTTTCAAAATCAATTTTATTATTTTCGACGTAAATACTTTTTAATTTTAAAATAAATTTCTTTTTCAAATATAGAATTAAATACAATAAAAAAAATATATTGCTACGTTATTATATTAAACATAAAGTGAAATTTTCGTAAACAAAAAAATGAAACAAATTTTTAATAATTTAAAACTAAAAAAACATAATACAAAAAAAAAATAAAAGTTTCAAGAAAAAAAATGCTTTTTTAAAAATTTACTTTTTTAATGATCTTCACTAAAATAATTAAAGTTTTATTATTTTTTAACTTCAAAATAAAAAAAAAAAATCCTCGAAATATTTGAGGAATAGTTTGAGGAATAGTTTACTAAAATAAACAAAATTTAGTATTTTTTTATTTTAAAGTGAAAAAAATTACTGAAAAACACTTTGAGAAGTTTCATAAAAAAACTATCAAACTATCATTTAGTTACGAATTGTAATTTTTCAAAAAGTATTTTCTTAATTCAAATTGTTATTAAAAATGTGGCAACCGTAAACAGATGCGAAAATAGAAAATAATTCGTCTTACTTAATATTCTATTTCTGTTAGAGACACTTTTTTATATTATGTAACAAAAAATTAGAAGAATATTAAATATTTGAAGGGAAAAAAGAAATTTTTTTGTATTTTTACGAAAATTTTCGATATTTAATGGAAAAATATTGAATTGAACGCAAAATAAAGAAGAATTCGCTAATAAAACAGAGAAAATTAAAACTTGAAATAATTAATTAAAATTTAATTTTATAATTTGTTCAAAAATTACGAATATTAAAATAATTAATCTAACTAATCTATTTATTAAAAATTTAATAATTTTATTTGATTTTGATTTAATTTAGTAATAAATTAAAAATTAAAAAAACTAAATTAAAAAAATTAATATTAGTAATGAAAAAATTAATATTGTATCAAAACTTAATTTAAAAAAGATCTAAAACAAAATTTGCATCATCAAGAAATAAAATTCTATTCTAGTCTAAAAAGACTTAAAGTTAATTTTAAAAATTTAATTGTATAGAAATTTTTTTTAGAAAATTAATGAGCAATAAAGTCGAATTTAATGATAAAACAAGTTTTAAATAATTTGTCGCAAAAGAATTGCCAAAAAATAAAGTATTTGCAAAAAACGTAAAAAGATTTTTGTTTTTCTTCTCTGAAAAATATAATGATTCACAAGCTTTGAACGTTGATGTGAACGAAATATTAAAAATATTTTCATAAATTACCGATTGCAATAAAAATTAAAAACCTAAATTTTACATTTAGAAAGTTAATAATTAATTTTGTTGCTAGTGAGACAAAATTATTAGAAATTTTTAAATTATGGAAATTATTGATAAATTATTAAAATAAAAATTTATTTTGAACAAGAAATAAATATTTTTGTTCATTTGAACGTTTAGAAACTTAGGATCATAAAATATATTCAATCAAGTGAAAAAAAAGAATTTCGACTATCAGTAAAATGTTACATGAAAAAAAGTGTCAATATCAAATATTTTCTGCAGTGAGCCGTGATAATTGAATGTCTTAAAACCAACTGATAAATTTTGTCAAAATCTGATTAATTTCAGTTAAACTTTGATGAAATTCACAATAAAATCAAGGATTTAGAAGAAAAAATATTTTTCCAAGCCTATTTTTATAAATTTTTGCATAAGAACACTTTTATAAAGTTTCTTAATCCATTTCAAGAAAAAAATTTATTACATATTTTTTTTCTTTTGAAAAAGTTCCATGAAGTTAGCGTCGAGTGTCGAAAAAAACGTTTTTTTTCACAACAAAAATTTCAAAATAGTATATTTCGTAACGAGTGCGAGCAGTTGCCAATTTTTGAACGAGCACTTTTTTTTGCTCATTCAAAAATTGGCAACTGCTAGCACTAGTTACGAACGATATTTTTTCATAACAAGGTGCAAAAAAGTGCCCTTTTTAGCACCGCGTTATGAAAAAATAACAAGAATAAAACAATTTAAAATTTCAGGTTAAAAAAGTGCCTAGAACTTCTTTTTAATATGAAGCTGAAGTCCGCAGCATTATTAAGTACATAATTGTTTATTATTGTTTATATTTTCAAAAATTTTAATACAATTAATCTCAAGAATTCAAATATTTTCATAAATAACAACATTCTTCGGAAGAATTTAATTGTTTTTATAAATAGTAAAATTCTTCGCAGGAATAGAATTATTTTCAATACAATTTTATGAACGGATTCAATTAAATTTTTTTCATAACGCGGTGCAAAAAAGGGCACTTTTTTGCACCTTGTTATGAAAAATATCGTTCGTAACTAGTGCTAGCAGTTGTTACGAAATATACTATTTCTAACTTTTAATACAATTCTTCGCAAGAATTTAATTATTTTCATAAATAATAAAATTCTTCAAAGGAATTCAATTATTTTTAATTCAATTTTAGTATAAAATTTCTCGAAAGAATACAATTATTTTTAAAAATATTAAATAAAATGTAATTATTTTCACCAGTTTTTATAATTTTTAAGAAAAATTAATTATTTTAAACGTTGTAATAAAAGTTTTCGATTGAATCCAATTATTTAAAAAAATTTTTGATAAAATTCTTTCTAAACATTCAATTATATTCAAAAATTATCATAAAATTCTTAAAAACAATTCAATTATTTTTATAAATTGTAAAATTCTTCGCAAAAATTCAATGATTTTCATGACATTAATTTAAAAATTTTAATTTAATTTCGTTTTCAAAAAAAACGTTGCGAACTTCAGCCTCATTTTTTAATTCCAAAGGTGAATGAAAGAAGTGAAATTAATTAAATTAAATTAAATTTAATTAAAATTCTCCCCAAAAAATTGTTTTTGAAGCAGAGCGTCGACAATAACTTCAGGGACATTTCTGAAAAATAAAAATTGTTCTTAATTGTTTATCATAAACGTTGTGAACTTCATCTAGGTAAGACAAAAAAGTTTCATTTCATCAATATCGAACAGAGAAAACTGTCCCAATAGGGATGAAAAAAAAATGAAAGAAAAGTCAATTGAAAGACGAAAACAATAATCACGTATTTTCGCATTGTTTTTTTTTTGGAAAATAAGAAAAAAAACGTCATCACAAATAATGGACAGTTTTTTTGTTGAAAAAATTGAAGAAACAAAGAAGAACGGAAGTACAGACACTAAAAATTTCGATTTGGATACTTTGGCACAAGGCAAGACATTAGAGGCACAATAGGTGGCTCACCATAGCCGGGGACTGTACAGGTACAGTGTGAATAATTGCAGTGGGTGGCGGATCGTAGTGCTCCTGGCAGAGGGAAGGGAGGGTGCGCATGATTTCAGATGGAGTGAGCACTCTAATCTGATGATCAACGGAGGATAATTGGCGAACAGGGCCAATTCCTACCGTAACAGTTGCAGTAGTAGTGGTGGTGGTGGGGGAGACCTGGGATACGCTCTGGCTGTTAACGATAGTACTTGTACTGATTGTGACATGAACAGGTGAGGGACGTTGCTGGGGTGGTGACGTTTGATGTTGCCCTTCACCGGCGACCACGTTGCAGTAAGAGGAAGCAGTTGTTGTTGTGCAAGACGTAGCTGGCGATTGTGCAATTCTAGCCTGACCACTAGCAACTTCTTGGTGCGCCAGACTATTAATGGAATTTATAGAATTGACAGAGCTGGGTCTAGGTGAAGAAGAAGGGGTTGTGGAAGTTGGGGAAGGGCTCGGAGAACAAGTTGTTAGCTGCCTCGGCGGTCCTTGTACCGCACACACCTCCGCTAGTTGACCACTGCTTGTTGTTGCTCCTAATGATGATCCGGCTGTTGGCAGTAGACACTTCTCCTGTGATTTATCCCCGTCCACCGAGGACAAAAGGCCAATTTGCTTTTGACTGGTGGCCATTGGAACTACTGGAGGAACTTGAGCTGATGACATTGTTGTGACAGGTTTGGTGGTGATGGTAGGTGCGCTTGTTGCAGTGACTGGGTTCGTGCTTGGTAAATCCTTGGGTATCTGTCGGTTCAAGGGGTGCCTCGTTCACACACTTTTATCATAATAAAGTTTGCGCGACTTGTCTTTTATCACAAGGTCGCTATTGTTTTCAAATTTTCTTTTTTTTGCTTTTGTTTTTTGCTTTTGCTCAAAGGGATTACAAACTGGGTGGTTAATAGTCGCAAAAAAAGGTTCTATGAGGATTCAAAGAGGTAAACATTCTATTTATAAGGGGTCACAAGAATTAATATAAAATGCCTAGTTTCGAAAAGGACTGCTTCTCTACTCAATATAGTTATGTTTACAAGTCGACACGTATGGTTAGAGACTGGTGTTTTAATTATAATTTCATTTTACTATTCTTCTACTTTCAACAACTTAAGAAAATGGGAGAAAATATTTTCATATTTAAAAAATTCACTATTTACAAAATCAATTAAATCTAGATTTCTAAAAACAAGAATTTCTTTTTCTTTAAACATATTTTGGTAAATTAATTAAAATGGTTAGTTTCAAGAAATTCCCAACAAAGTTATTTACTTAGAAGAGAAAATAATGATCTCGCATTGTATGGAAATTTTTTGCAATTCGAAATAGACAAATGACTATTTTTTTTGTAATTAAAAAAAATAATATGGAGAATATGAGAAATTAAAACACCAGATTTTTACACTGACGATAAAAAACATTGACTAACGGTAGATATAGCATAATACAACGGGCGAGCTGTTAGTCTGACTTTTTTTTTGTTAGCACAGGACACCCTACGCGATAAACGAGACTTTCAATTCATATATATAAATAAAATAACAGGACTGATTGTTCAAATTGAATTATTGAATCGTGACAATTAAAAGAATTTGGGACACTTACCTGTTGTGTTTTCTTCATACGATTTGCAGCTCTATTTTCTCTGGCTTGCGTTAAATACGGAGCTTTTGTTTCTGCGGGTAGAGCACGCCATTTCTTCTGAATTTGCTTGTGACGATCAGGCCAAGCTAAAGAGGAAAAATAAGTTTCATAATTAATGTCACACTGAAATATTAAAATTATTCGAACATCGATAATTTTTTTAAAAATATATATTTAATTATTATTACTTTTTCACAGGAATTAAAATTTTTCAAATTTTAAACCTTTCGAAATAATTTAATTTGAATTAATAATTTTTTTTTCTAAAACAGAAGAAATATCAAAGAAGGAACATAGAAAAATGATCAAATATTAATTTCTACCTGGAAATTCTTTTTTCCATTCCGGATGGTTAATATTGGCGTAAAGGACCATTGAGATCGTAGCTCCCGTGCCTAGAACTTCATCGGCTTCCATCTTAGGATTATTTCCTCTTTGGTTATGTGGAACACCAGAATTTCCACCAGCTCCCTCGTCTTCTGGATTTACCCATGGACTCGGTGGTTCCGAGAAGGCAGGACTAAATTGCTGTGGACTGCTACAATTTCAAGAATAAATTTAAATTTCCGAGTTTAAATAATTAAATTATTAATTTAAATTTCATCATTACTTACTTGCTGTATTCAGAATGATAGGGCGAGGGAGGTGGAAAACTCATTGGAGAATTCAAATTATTCTGTCCAACAGAAGGTAGAGTGTTGGCAACTTGAGGTCTTACCAATTGCAAACCTCCTTGTAGAGCTTTAAAAATGTAACGTTTTCTCCATTAATAATAAGAATAATAAATTTACGCAATTACAATAATTAATTAAATAAAGTGGAAATTTACATTCCAATTTTGGAATTTCTAAAAAAACCAATTCCAAATATTGGAAACAATGAAATTTATTCTTAAATGTAAAACTTATTGAAAATGTAAATCTGATTATTTGTACCTTTTCAAAAGAACATTGGAATAAGGATCTTCTATCTAGGAAAGGTATCTTCAGAAGAGGAATTTTCCGAATAGGATTCAAAATATTTCTGGACAAATCTTTGGTTTGAATTTCGAATTAAAATGGAATAATTAAACGAACATTGTTATGAATAAAGTTTTGTTTTTTAATAAATTTTTTCATACCTGGATGAGGAGAAGGCGAAACTAAAGGCGTGGTAGGAGCAGAAGCATGTGGCGTTACTTGAGGCTGAAGCGGAAACACTGAAGATTCTTGAGATTCTTGAGATTCATCAGTAAGGACACCTTTGAAAATTTCCTCCACGTCTTTGCTGTCCATATTTGGCAAGCCTGTGAAAACGGTTAATTTTTTAGTATCTTTTTTTACTTATAGATAAAGAAAATTTGAAATTTCAACTACATACCTGTATCTCTAACCATAGACTCCAAATTAAAGTGCGGACTGAGAATATCGGTCAACTCGTCCTTGGTAGAGCCTTGAGCATCATCCAATTCCTCTAAAGCTTCACTAGCTTTAACCAAATCTTCATCAGGCTCGTTCATTATCGTATTAACTAAATCACTGTCCAGTAAATCACCAGAAATTGGTAGTATATCACCAAGAGCTTCAGGATCACTGTTATCTTCATCCATCATCTCTTCCCTCTTAATATGCGATTCCATTGGTATTTTGATTTCCTCTTTTTCTTGCTTCGCCTTGACTTGTTGAATTGCTTTAAGTTCATCCTGTGATAGTTGAATTGTACCAGTATTAAGATTAGTTTTGTGTTCATTGTCGGAATCACTGCTACTTTCCAAATCTTTGTCTTTGGTTGTGCCCATAAGAACCTTGCCGAAGAATGCCTCTTGCATGTAAGAAGGAAAACATTCGGAGAGCTTAGTCTTTGGTTTTCTTCTCTGAGGCTTCCTACGAGGTTTATCCTCTGAAAGTCCCATCATTCCATCGGGAAGTTTCTCCCCGTCACCCTCCTCTTCTTTATCTCTCCTCATTCCCCTGAGTCGAACAACAAAACCGCCAATTCCAAGTTTTTGCAAATTACGCTGACGTTTTCGTCTCAGAACGGTGACTCCATTTTCGGTGGTGTAAATACTAAAACCTTCAGGCGGTGGTTCTCCACTACGTGGAGTCCAAGTCATTCCTTCCTTTAAAACTTCAGTAGGTTCGTCCTTCACATCGAGAAGATCTAGCTTCCCGCTTCCATCATCCAGAGAATTATCATGACTTCCTCCAGCGACCACTGACTCAATGGTTGCCATTATATCCGCTTCCTTATCAACCACTGGCAACTTTCTTCGTTTCTTTCTCGTTTGCTGATGCTCGAATGTTAACGATTTAATGTGATTCATACCCGATTCGGATAAATAAACACCGTCGACTAAATACTGTTGAGGCGAAGGCTTATAATGCTCTGGACTCCGAGTGAGTGGAGGTGGTGATCGAGGATATTTAGGTTGTGGTTTTGGCAAACTACGCAATATATGAGGCGGCGGTTCATCGCTGGGACGACATTGGGTGCAATTGTAACCAACTTGAGCGCATTTTTCGGCATCGTCTTCAGTTTTAATTGCGTCACAGGAACAGTGAAGCCATCGTTGACACTGACTACACTGGATTATTAAATCGCCTTCATTGTAAGGTTGTTGACACTCGAGGCAAATTGTATGTGAAGCGCAAGGTCCGCACTGAGTGTAATTCTTCTGCCAACTACAATTGAATCCTGGATTATCTGAACCGCAGGTTTGACACTGTGCACACCATTTACATTTCCAACTGCCCTGAGGTACATAATCCAACGGCGGTTCCAAGCAGTAGATGTGATAGCTTATGTCACAGTCGTCGCAAAGTATCAAACGACTCTCGTCCGTTTTCTCGCCACAACCTTCGCAAACGGTACAATCGAGACATCGCCAACCCTTCTGCAATATAACTTTTGTGACCTTTACACCGGCGCAGTAAGGATGATAACATTGGCCGCACTGCGCACAAGCTATCAGACATCCTTCTTGATCTGTCCCAATAGCTCCACACATCACACAAATATCCTGTGTCAAAACAAATTTATCCTTCGCCGAACACAAGACCAATCTGTTTTCAACTCCCGGCTCGTCCTCCTTCGACGAATCGGACATACACTAAAAATAAAAATTAATAATAAAATACAAATTTATATAAGAATAAGCGCGTTACGCTCGTTATATTACAGGGTTGCCACGCTTTTACTCATTTCAAATTCCCTTATTTTTCCAGGTTTTCCTGGTTAAAAACGAATTTTTTCCAGGTTTTTAAAACTATACTTATTATTTACAAAATTAAATCTATTACATTTATTTAAGAATTTCTGTAATTATAAAATTAATCGAAAACATCAATTATTATTTTTACATAGAAATTGCGAGTTTCAAAAATTTTAAATTCAATAACTGTTAAAAATATTATTGTAAAATATGAAGAAATGGATCACTCCGAGTCTTCGACTCGAAGTAAACTCTTTCTTCATGTTTTATAATAATTAAAGATGACCGAGTGATAAAATAATTATTTTATATTATAAGAATTATTCGTAAATTCTTCAATTAAATAAAAATCTAAATTCTTTAAAATTTTTAATTAAATTCATTGAAAATTGAAATTTTATAAAATTTCATATTAAATGTTTTTGAAGTTCATCTATTTATGAAAATTGTAAACGCAACTCTTTTAAAATTGATTTATTTAAAAATATTTAAGTAAAATTATTCATTAAATAATTTATGAATAATAACTTTGACAGTTGTTAAAGATAAATTATTTAAAATAAATTATTGGCAGAAATGAAAAAAATGGAATATTTTGCATTAGAATTCGTGGTAATTTCCTAGTTTATGAGAAAAACAAAAAAAAAAACAAAAATTCAAAATTTCGTTACGAATTCTAAAAATTAATTAAATTTTAAGAATAATTACAATAACTTTAGAAAACAACAATTTTCTAGGATTCCGATCAAAATTCCCTGAGTTTTATAGGTTTTTTCAAGGGCTATAAAATTCTCTGACATTTCCAGGTTGTGTGGCAACCCTGTATTGTAAAAAAATTCAATTATTTGAGGGGTATCAATACTTTACCTGTAATCCAACTCCAGGCACTCCAAAAATACCCCGCATTTTTGCTTTTGGTCCCCGTTTGCGGCCAAATTCATTCATTTTCTGCCGCTTTTGATACCCGTGTTTTCCCATTCCTTTCGGTCTTCCCACAACGCCACCACCAAATCGTTTCTTAGCAATTTTGGAAGCGCAAAATGGTTTTCCTTTTCCCATTCCCATTGAATAATAAGAATCATCAAAACCACCAGTATAATCATACTCCGACGAATCGCCATCATAAAGACTGTCCTGAGATCCAGTTAAGCTCATATCCAATCCATGATCATCAAAACTATCCTTACGTTTCATAAGTGCCATATTTTTACAATTCTTACAAATATATTCATAATCTGGATTCTCCTCTTTTCGTCTCTGATAAGTATGAGGATCAGCATCGGGATCGCATGTGCCATGTACAAATTTTGTACAACCACTACACTGTACCATTTCTCTATAGGCGGCAGCGCGATACGCCTTCCGACAAAGTGGACACGAGAATCCCTTATTTCTTTGCTGATAGCACGAATCACAAACTGTATATTGGGCGTGCCATCTAGAAGAAAGTCCAGCGCCTGGAGTACGAGATCCACAATCCGTACAAATACGACAACATAAACATTTCCAACCAAATTTTGGAATTGACGTGACAATTGGTCTCATACAGCCCGGATGATACGCCTTGTCACATCTTTCACAAACCATTACTTTTGAAACGTCTTCATGTTCTCGACACACCTGACATACTCGACAGGTTGAACACTGCCATCCTGCACGAACTCCTGGTAATAGACGCAAACCAACACAAAGTCCATGATAGTGCTGATGGCAAATTGAACACATCACCAATTTTGAAACGTCTCCCATTTGACCACATATCATACAGCTTACATCGAAATTTACTGTAAAAAAAATCGTCAAATCAAAGTATTAATTCTTGCAATTAATTTTTATGGCATTCCATTAAATTTATCAGTTTTTAGTTAATTTTATGACTTTCAATTAATTTTACGAGTTTTCAATAATTTCTATTAAAAAATAAAACGATGAAATAAACGAATTTCTAATTAGATTTTAATAATTAAAATTGTTGCGAAATACTTACAAAGTCGAGGGACTTGGTCGGAATGAATATTGCAGAATAAAGATAATGTAGTTTTCTCCTGAAAGCAACTAGAAGCAGCTGAACATGGCAAATGAAAATAACGATTGCACGATCCCACCTGAAAGTAAAATTTGTAAAATTTAATTAATTTCGAATTTTATCATCAATTTGACAAAATCAAATAAAAAATTATTGTCTTCAAAATTCCGAAAGTAATAACTAGATTGTTACAAAAATTTGATTCTTCTTCCTGACTTTTCACTGATTTCCAGACAAAATTAACCATTTGAACTCTTTAATACTGATTTTTTCACTAACAACCATTTAAAAATATTCAGTTACGATTCTTGATAAAATGAAACATAATATTAAATATTCTTGTTTATTTATCAAAAATATTAATAAAATTTTTCGCAAGAATATTATTATTCTTATAAATAATATTGTTTAGAGCAATTAAATTATTTTCAATACTATTTTAATAGAATTTTTCGAAAAAATACAATTATTTAAAAAACTATTAATTAAATTCGATTCTTTTCAAGCATTTTTAATATAAATACAATTATTTTCGACAATTTTGATGAAATTCTTTTAAAAAAATCATTATCTTCAAAAAATTCAATTATTTTCAACAATTCAATTATTTTTGTGAATTGTAAAATTCTTGGCAAGAATTCAATTATTTTTGTAAATAATAAAATTCTTCAGAGAAATTCAATTATTTTCAATACAATTTTAATAAAATTTATAGGAGAAAATTCAATAATTATATTGAAGATAATTTCAATAAAATATCTCTAACAGGTTCAATTATTTTTAAAAATTTTATAAAATTTTGCTAAACAATTCAATTGTTCTCAAAAGTTTTTAATCGAATTCTTTATAAATTTCAATTAAAATTATTTTTAAAAATTACATTATCTTTATGAAATATAATGAAATTCTTAAGAAAAAATGTAATTATTCACAAAAACTCTAATAAAATTGTTTAAAAGAATTTAATTTTTTAGGAATAATTTTAATATAATTTAAAGGAAAATTATTAATTACAATAAATTGTAATTAATTGAATTAAATTCTTCAAAACAATTAAATTATTTTAAAGAATTTTAATAAAAAGCTTGCCAAGAATTAAATTATTATTTTCAATTCAATTTTAATTACATTTTCTAGAAAGAATTTAATTATTGAAAAAAATATGGATAAAATTCTTGAAATGAATTTATTTATTTTCAAATTTTTTTATAAATACTTTGCAAGAATTGAATAATTTTCAGTAAATGAATTTTAAAATTGAAAACATTTAAAAAAGAAAATTATTTCAAAAGTTAGGAAACAAAACAGAAAACAGCAACTAACAAAATTTAATTATTTTCAATTAATTTGATATTTCTTTTAAACTATCTTTTTAAAAATTCAAGTAACTTTAAAAAGTTGAATTGAAATTTCTCAAAAATCTAATTTTTTCCAGAATTTTTCATTAAAGTTCTAAAATATTTAATTTACATTTTCGAAATTTCAAGTAGTCAGCAATAGTAAAATAATAATTAATAAAAATTATAAAATAATAATAATAATATTTATCGAAAAAATTCATTCATTTAAAGGTGTAAAATTTTTTTGGGTCTTAATTTGTCAATTCTACTTACTTTACAAGACAATCCCGCTCCATAATGAGAACAAGAGGCACAGCGTCGCGAAGATGCTTGAATGACAGTAGCGCTAATAAGTTCAGGTGTTACATTTTGATTATTGCTAGACCACACTGCACAATAAAAATGAGCGTAAAAGTGTCCAGTTTGCTCGAACAAATTTCCAACGTCCGGCTCTTCCGAGTAGCCAACTATCGTTAACTCTTCCACTGGTTCAATAAAATTGGAAACATTAGGATTCCTGAAACAACAAAATATTCAGTTAGAAACATTTCGATTCATATTATCGATGAATTGCTTTATTTATAATATTATTTATATAATTTTGATTAGAAATTTTTCAAAATTAAAAAACATAAGTGTAAAGTTGATAATAAATTAAAATATATAAGTGCAAGGATAATAAAAAAAATTCTACTAATGTATTAGAGATTGGGATATTTTGGGCCACCTCCATTATTTAATAATATTTGATCATCAAATTTTTTTTATTTTCTTTTATTCGTTCAAAGTAAATTTTTCATAAGCATTTCATGACTTTACAAAGATTTACAATTACCTATAAGCTGTAAACAACAACCACCTGAAAAATTGCATTCAAATATTTATTTTGGGCGTTCGTTTTTATTGTTTTTACAAGGATTTTTAAAAAGTACTTAGGGAAAATATTTTTTTAATTATTGTATAGCATTTGTACTTTGACTCCAAAAAGAAATTTTGCATCAAATTTAAATGAATATAATACAAAGCTTCTTGTAAAATGAATCATTTTGATTTTGAATTTAATTCAGGCAGTGGCCCACAAATCCCCAACATTTTCAAAAATCATAAAAATGCATTTTTTTTTGGTAAAACGCAAATTTCTTTTTGGTAAGTGATAATTTTAAGAAACTATGATATTTGTTAGCTTAAACCTTTTACGGACGTAAAAATTTGAAAAAAATATTTTTGAGGATTATATTAAATGAAAATTAGATTACTGAAGTTATATTTCAATAATTACCTGCATTTGGCGAGACTTTTTTGCCTACGACATGTAACGGCTCCAGGTCCAATTATGCGCGGACTCTTATCACCTGGATTAATTATGTCTAGGGGAACTTCCGAAGTGTCTTGATTTGCATTTTTCACGGGTATAAATCCTTCAGGTAAAGTATACCTGTCCATTTTTCCTTGGCCCAATTGACTTCGTTCTCCCAAATTACAAAAGGCGCACACCTTTCCCGGCCTTTATAAAATATTAATTTTATTACTTAACATTTCCTCTTTCTCTTTCTTTTGTTTCTAATTTAGTTTTTAATTTATCTAATTATTATTTTTACTATAATAATAATATTTATAAAGAAATTTTTGTCGATTTTTGGAAGATGATGGAAAAATTAAAAAAGAAAAACAATTATCTATTTTAATAAATATAATAATAATAATTACTTACTAATTAATATCATTATTATCGAAAGTTAAATTAACAGATTAAAATGATAATCGAACTGATTGTGATTTTACCATTGCTCCATAAAATTAGGTGGTTCATCAGGTGCTGGCATTGATCTGTCGGTACCGGAAGTTTCGCCACCGTCTCCTTGTCCATCATCACCGATTCTTAGAGGACTTGGTGATTCAGAATGGGTATCATCATCTTTACTCTTGGTACGACGAGGCATTCCTCGCGCATAGCCAAGTCTGGAAAATATGAAAAGAAAAACATTATTAAATATTAACATCGCTTGAAAGAAATTTATTTTACTTTAATTTAATTTTAATTTAATTTAATCTTTCTAAAGTTTCCAACGTCTGAATAAAGGAAATTTGTTTTATTAAAATTTTTTTTTTGATAAATTACTCATTGTATAATAAAAATATGAAATTCTTTCCATTTATCAAAATATAATTTTTTTCTAAAAAAAGTTTATTAATTTTCAAGTTAAATTTATCTCTAATTTTTGTGCGCGTAAATTTTTTTTTAGAAATTAATTCATCCTTAATTTTTACTTAACAGATAATTTACTCAAAAATAACATGAATCTAAAGAGAAAATAAAATAAATCGTCGCAGTATTTTTTTCTTTTTCATTTTTAAAAGCGTTGCGGACTTCAGCGTCTTGTAAAAATTCAAAAAATTAAATTTGACGTTTAGAAACTTTATAATTAACTTTTTTTTGATACGTTACCGAGAATTATTGGAAAAAAATTTTAATTTGAAGATTAAATAAATAAATTCTATTCATTTGAATTTTCGGAACTTACATCGGTGAAATTAACCTTTTAAAATTAACGATTGAAAGGAAAAGAATATTTTTCTTGACAAAAACAATAAAATATTTTGTTTTCAAATTTTTCTTCTTTAAATTATGGGTTAAACAATTATGAAAAATACTTTGTAGAAAAATCAGGGTTACCACAAATATTTAATTTTATTTTTCCCTGATTTCCAGGAAAAAATTTCACTTTTTCCCTGACCCTAAAGAATATTCCGATTCACTCTAAAAATTATTAGATACTCAAAAAAAAAATATTCTTAATACATTTATTTGCGAATTTCTTTAATTGTACAATTATTCGAAAACATCAATAACTTCTTTTCTAAATAAATATTTAATCATTATTATTTTTCCGTATGAATTAAAATTCTTCAAAACATTCAAATTCAAACTTTTTTGAAATTCAAAAACTTATAAGAATATTTTTCAAAAAAAAGTTAATTATTTACAAAAATCCTAATAAAATTCTTTGCAAGAATTCAATTATTTTTACAAGGAGTAAAATTTCTCAAAAAAATTCAATTATTTAAAAAAAAATGTAATAAAATTCGTTGCAAGAATTCAATTATTTTCATAAATAATAAATCGATTAAGTATTCGGTAATTCATTTTTAAGTCAATTTTCATTAGAAAATTCTAGAAGAATTCAATTATTTAAATTAAAAATTAAATAATTTATTGAATAATTGAATGTTTGTTAAAAATGATTTCTTATAAAGAATTTTATCAACAAATTTTTAAATAATTGAATTCTTTTTACAAATTTTAATAAAATTTTTGAAAATAATTAAATTTTTCGAGGAATTTGATTAAAATATTGTATCAAAAATAATTAAAAATCCAGCGATGAGTTTTATTATTTATGAAAATAATTAAAATGTTCCCAGGAATTTTATTGAAATTTTTCTAAAATAATTGAATTTCTGCGAAAAATTTTATTACTTTTGAAAATAATTTAATTCTTTAAACGAATTTTATTCAAGTTTATAAAAATAATTGCATATCTGTGAAGAATTTTATTATTTATATAAATAATTGAATTCTTGCAAAGAATTTTATCCAAGTTTTTAAAAATAATTGAATTTCTGGAATCATTTGTAACTTTTCCAAAATTCAACTTTTTTTTAGTATTTTTAACTAAAATTCTTCTATCAATCTAGTATTTATGAAAATTGTCAAAATTATTCATTAAATAATTTATAAGTCATAATTTTATGATAGTTCTTGAAAAATTGTTATTTAAAAATAAATTATTGTCAGAAATAGAAAAAATTGAAGGTTTTGTATTTAAATTCATGGTAATTTCATAGTTTACGAGGCAAACAAAAAAAACATCAAAATTCAGAGTTTTCTCGTGAATTTTAAAAATTCAATTATTTCCAGTACTTTTAATAAAAATCCCTGACTTTTCCCTGACCAATTTTAAGAATAAGAATTTTTTAAGAATAAAATTAATAATATTAATGGTAATATTAAGAATAAAATTAATAATACTAATAACAATATAAATAATAATAAAAATAATTCTCACCCTTTGCCTCTCGCGGAGCCCCTTCCAAATGATTTACGAACTCCGACACCTCTTACCGATCCGGGAGGGCGTTCTTTGCGAGGTCTCCCAGGACCTCTTCGGATATTCAACGGTTTCCCACTGGGATGTGGAAATTTTTGATATCTCAATGGATCAGGAAACGGTTCATCTGGTGTGACTGCGCACAACACTGTAAAATTTTGTTCCAAATTATTATTTTATACATATTTTTTTTACAATTTCTCTATTTTTCTAAATATCATCAATTTTGTAGTTTTTTCTTACTTAAAAAAAATTTTTTTTTTAATAAAGAAAAATAGTAATACTAACTGTTTCCAGAAATGGGAGCTGGACCAAGCAATTGGTCGGAGTTGGCAGGAGAAACTGGGATCCCTGCAGTTTCCTCATCTTCATCTTCTCCGTCAGAAGCTTCGTCGAGCTCCATTTCTTCCTCTCCTTCTAGACGCACTTCATCATCCATGGCACTTCTTATTTAAAAAGTGTCGTAGGCTTTTTCTGCAAATTAATTTAAAAAAACGTTATTTATAATTATGTTTACAAAATTGAAAAAATTTTTATTCCATGCCTCAAAAACCCTTTTTTCTATCTCAATGGAAACGGAATTTTTGTCAAAAAATTAGAATTTACAATAATATTTACATTTATTTGTAATAATTAATAAATATTGGTAATTAATTCGAATCATTCGTGTAAAAAGAAAAGACATCGGTACATAAAAGGAAAAAGTGATCACAAATCGATTATTTAAAAATTCTCGTTATGTTCTCAAAAAATGTCAAAAATTATTATAATTTAAAAATAGAAGACATCCCTTTTGAAAGTTAGGGGAAACAAAATGGAGATAAAAAGGCCCTTTTGTTTCCTGCGCATAAACTTCGCGCAGAGAACTCACATGCTGTGAATGCATTAATTAATTAAATTCTACTCACTGCATTTAATTAATTAATACCGAAAATTTTAATTGTACGACTTAAATAAAAACTCATTTTTAAAACACTTTAAACCATGGGAACGAAATTTTTCATTAATAAAATCTACGCTAAAATTCTCTTATTGCACTAAAATGACAAACTGTTGATATTTTCAATTTTGATCAAATTGCGTCTAGTAACTTCTTCAAAATTAATTAACACAACATTTTTATCAAAATTGAAAATAAAAAATCACTTCTGTATACAAAAGTAATTGTAATTTATTTTTTTAATGAACTTTTTTATTTCAAATCAAAAATTTGGTTTCTGGTTTCATTAAAACGTGGCATTCCTTTGAATTCACACATTTTAATGCTTAAAAATAATAATTAATATTAACAAACTTAGCAAAATAAATAAACTCTCTTGTTTATAGTAAATAGAATGATTATGAAAGAATTTCGATAAATAGTTAAAATTTAACAATATTTCCTTTTTTTAGGAATTAATCTCCAAAAACACTATTAGAAATTTATCAACAAATAAAATAAATGAATAATTTTGCATAATATAACTGCTAAATTCTTCATAAGCAAATGATGATTGTTTTGTGAACACTGACAGACACATTTGAATTAACCTCACGTTTGGAGCGCCGTAAATAAAAAAATAATATATTCTTTTTTTTTCAAAGAGAAAAATTAGAATATATTGAAATAGTGAATTAAAAAAAAGCTAAAAATAAACTATGCATGTGGCATTTCCAAAAAAGCTGGTCCTTCAAAACTCGGAAAATTCAATTATACATTCGAAACAAATTCGAATTGGGGGAAAAAAATGAAGAATAATGATAAATTAAACGATAAATTAAAGAAAAAAATGCAACAGACAACTGATTTGAGAGAAAAACTTATGTAGCCGTCAATGTACTAACAGACAGTGTATGTTGGAATAAAACGCAAAGGTTCAATTGTATAGTCATTATTTCGCGAGGGCAATTGTTTTGAAGTTGCGAAACAATGATTTTTTCACTGGAATTTTGTTTTTCACGATTATTTGACTGAAAATTAATGTGATTAATTTGATTCGCGATTAATGTTGAGCTTATGCCGTTTTGATGTCCTTACAGGTAGCGCTCGGTCACGAAAGGATGGCGTGCCGCCCCACAATCTTGTTCCCATCCTAAGGTAACACGGTACTCCAAAAAAAAAAACACTAGAAAACCAATTTTCACCTTAAAAAATTACAATGTCTACTTGAGAGAATTTCACATTAACATAAAAGAAACGATATTCCCGTGACCGCGGTTATTTAAACTCTGTCAAACTGTCATCCAAACATAAACGATTTGTTGGCTAGATTTCGGAGCGCGAGACACGCCATTGCTGTCAGGGTTTGCAGGCTGTAAACACACACCCTCGAGAGTCATGATGATTATTTTCTTTACACAAACACTTACCAATTAATGAAACATCCTTCGAAGCCTCATGATTGATTCACGCGCACTATTACTAAGGTTTTCCATGTATTTTGCACAAGTTGATCTGATAAACATTTTGTAACAAACAGAAAAATGTCAGAAAACTACAAACGGATGAGTACACGCCGGGTGAACCAGGGTGAAACACCAAGACTGTTGATTTGTCTGTATTCCCGGAATCCGGAAGTTTGTTGGCGTTAGTTTCAATGTTCAACCGCCAGAGTGCGCGTCAACTATCCCGGAGCGGGAAAATTTGAATTTTTGAATTTTTTACTTTCATTTTACTTTTTTTAAATTTGTCGATTGGTTTATTAATAAATATTGTAGAATTATAATAAATAGAGTAAATAATAAATAAAGTGAAATAATAAATAAGATAAAATAATAAATAAAGTAAAATAATAAATACTGTAAAGTAATAAATACTTTAAAATAATAAATTAAATTAAAAATTCTAATAAAAACAATAGTAAAATAAATACTTTTTTTGATTCTATTAATTATAATGAAATTAATTAATTTATTATATTTTTGATTAATAGAATAAAAAATTCCAAGAATTGATTTTTAAATGAAACTAAATTTTCTGCTTTATTACAGGTCGATAAAGTTAAATTTAAGAAGAAAAAAAATTAAATAAAAAATAATTTTTCAAATGTAGTTAATATTATTAAATTAATTAATAACATTAATAATGATTTATAATAAATTTTATTCAATATTTTTAATAAAATTTGTTACCATCATTTCTATAAGAAGTAAATTAGAAGTACACTCAACAGATGGCGCAAGTAACAATTTTCAAATTTAAATTTATTTTTTAAATAAATTTAATTAAAAATAAAATTCTAAATTTAAATTATATTCAAATTTATCAATTGCTAATAATAATAAAAAAAAATAATAATAATAAAAATAGAAATAATAATAATAATATAAAAAATAATAATAATAAAAATAATAATCATAATTCGATTTGAAACATTTTGATTCAAAATTCATCTCTAGGAATCCTTTATCCAATTTCATAAAATCATTAATTAATTCATCAATAATGAGAATTACAATAATTTACCAACTAAATTAAAAATCTGTTTGGTATTTATGCTTTAATTATTTTTTCATTATTCATCGATATTACTTGCATTAATTATTCCAAATCAAAATTTTATAAAATATGTATATTTAATTATCGTTATAAAATTTAATGAAATAAAATTATAAGAAAAAAAGATTTTACCACCGGAAGTAATATAGACATTTATTAATTATACAGATTTTCAAGATATATTTTCATCTCATTTTTTCCCTCTCTCAAGTTTTAAATTAATTATCTCAAATAACTTTTTTTCTTCTTCTAAGGAATCATTAATTATTGGTCTTTGATACCTTAATTACGAAGTTATATAAGCAGGAAGTAGGCAACCCGTCATACTTAGATGGATACTTCTAGTGTTTCGCGCTAAGTAAACTTCCTACATTAAGTTTATTTTCTAGAATTTTAATAACATTTTTCCAAGAATTCAATTATTCTTCTAAATAATACCATTCTTTGGAGGAATTTAATTATTTTTATAAATAGTAAAATTTTTCGCAGAAATTCAATTGTTTTCAAAACAATTTCAATTTTAATTTTAATTTAATTTAATTTTCACGAAAAGATTCAATTATTTTCTCAAATTTTAATGAAATTCTTCGAAACAATTCAATTATTATTATAAATTGTAAAATTCTTCGTGAGAATTAAATTATTTTTATAAAATAATAATATTCTTCTGGGGAAAAAAGTTTTGATAAAATTCTTTGTAAATTTCAATTATTTAAAAAATTTTGAATTTCAATTATTTTAAAATTTGTAAATTAAAATTATTTTTAAAAACTGCATTATTTTTAAGAAATTTAAATAAATTCAAGAAAAAAATTTAGTTATTTACGAAGACTAATGAAATTGTTTAAAAGAATTTAATTTTCTATCAATAATGTTAATAAAATTTAATTATTAAATTATTAATTACAATTATTGATAAACACGATTATTTTAAAAACTTAAAAAAAAATGCTTCATAAAATTCAATTATTACTTTCAATATTTTGAATAAAAATTATTAAAAAAAACTTCACTATTTTCAAAAAATTGAAACAAATTCTTCAAAACAATTTAATTATAATAAAAAAAATTTCAATAAAATTCTAGCGAAGAATTAAATTATTATTTTCATAAATTTTAATAACATTCTTTGTAAGAATTCGATTATTTTTATAAATAACAAAATTCTTCGCGAGAATTGTTTAATTATTAATTAAGTACAATTTTTATTTTCATTTACAAATTGTTAAAAATAGACTAAATAAAAAAGACACAGTTTCTTTTTCCTCTGCATAAGAAAAATTAATAAATGATTAAAATATATATTACATTGACATATTATATGTGTTTAAAGTAGGTCATTTTTTGAATTTTAAATAATTTATTATGTACATATATTTCGATATCATCTATCAATTCTTTTTAATTTTACTCCATGAAAATAAATGTAATATAATTTTCTTAAAAATAAAAAAAGTTTTTTCTCAAATAATTCTATAATTATTTTTTATTTTGCAAAAATGTTCAACATAGATCGTCACACTTTTTTGTTATAATAATATAAAATTTAAATTTAAAAAAATAAAAAATTAATTAATGGCCACGTCATAAAATATTTCGTTTTTCAACTAAAATGCTCTTCATTTAATATATTTAAGGAAAAAATTCATATTTTTGTAATGTAATAAAAAATACCAATAAAAAATAATGACAATAAGAATACTAAAAATAAAAATAATAAAAAAATGATAAACATAAAGAAACTAAAAATAACAAAAATATCAAGAACGAAAATAAAAATAAAAATAATAAAAATAAAAATAATAAAAATAAAAATATTTAACAAAAAAATTAAATTAAATTAATCATTAATAAATTCTCCACACGTACTTCTTTTTTCTTCCCTCTCCATCAATATCGAAAAAATTGGAAATTAATTAATACAAAATTGAGGTAACAATTAAAAATGAGGCTTTTATTATTTTTATTCAGTCAATAATTCTTTTTTTTTTTTGCGGTATAATCGAAATCCGTTAAAGGGAGAACTGTCAATTTAAATCGCGTCGCGTCGTCGTTGGCAATAATTATTAAAATAGAACACTCGGCCCTTTTTGGTTTCATTCATATGATTTCAATGTTTCCCCATTTTTTTGGAAAAAAAAATAAATATGCACCCTCAGTTTCTCTATATAATTTAGGTATTTATAGGATCAATTTCTTTTGACCGATAAAGATGGGTTTTCGATAGATCGAATCCAGCTGTCGTTGACACGAGCCTTCACCAGTACTTAAGCGGCTTATTTTCTTTTTGAAGCGGCGCGATTTTTGCGCTTTTTTTTCGACATTGTCCCACGATTATTCTGAGAAAATTGCAGCATTAAAATTACGGATTTAATATAATTTCCGTAAAACAGAGAGATAATGGAATTCAAAAGAGCATGGAAAAGCAGCTTATTTGTATGAGAAATAGCAGGATTCACGTTTTCAGGACTTTTATTTATAATATATATAAATATACTTAAATTACAAAAATACTATACAAAAAATTTGTTGATTTCTTTTTAGATTAAATATTTTTATGATTAAAAATTTTTTACAAATTTGAGAAATTGAAAAATGAATTAAATTAATCCCTTAAATGCGCATAATGGCAAAAGATTTGACGAACGAAAACTTTGGCACTTAAAGGGTTAAAAAAATGATAAAATTAAAAGAATTAACAATTTACAAAAAAACAAAAAATTTTTGTTAAAATCTTACCCACGCAACTCTTTATAAAACTGAATTAAACTTTTAACTGTGATTTATAGAGAATGGATAAAAATTATTTTCATCATTTCACTTCAATTATTATTTTCTAGAATTTTTAACTAAAATTCTTCTTTCAATCAATTATTTTTAATAATTTTTGAAAAAGTTTTTTTTGATAATTAATTTCAATTCCATTTCTTTACAATTCAATTTTGCGAAATTTCTATTATTCGAAAATTCTTCAATTAAATATATATAAAAAAAAAAAAAAAATTCTACAGAATAATTGTCAGTTAAAAATTTAAAAAATTAAGATTTTCAAATATTTTAATTTTAAACCTTTATTCAAAATAAAATTACTACTAAAAAATTCACGGTACAATGCTTTTAATATTCAATTATAATATCTAAAATTTTAAGTGAAATTCATTTTTAAATCAATTTTCATTAGAAAATTCAACGAGAATTCAATTATTTAAATACAAAAATAAATAATTTATTGAATAATTTAATGTTTCTTAAAATTTAATTCTTATGAAGAATTTTAATAAAATTTTTAAGAATATTTATATTTTTCGAGGAATTTGATTGAAATTGTAATTAAAAATAATTGAATATCTGCAATGAGTTTTATTATTTATAAAAATAATTGAATTTATAAAAAGAATTTTGTTATTTATGAAAATAATTGAATTCCTAAAAAGAATGATGTTATTTATGAAAGTGAGTGAATCCCTGTAAAAAATTTATAATTTATGAAAATAATTGAATTATTACGAAGAAAATTATTAAAATTTTGTAAATAATTCAATTCCTGAGAATAATTAAATGTTTGCAAAGAATTTTATTAAATATTTTTTTTTTTAAATTGAATATTCTTTTGGAAAATTTTATTAAAAAATAAATATTGAAAATCATTGAATTAAGAAGAATTTTAAAAATAATTGAAATTTTGCCAAGAATTTTATTAAAATTTTTGTAAATAATTGTAAATAATAATTTATAATAATAATTTTATAATAATAATAATTTTTGTAAATAATTGAATTTTAAAGAAGAATTTTTATAATTTTAAAAAATAATTGAAATTTTTAAGAGAATTTAAAAAATTTTTTAAAAATAATTAAAATTTTGCCAAGAATTTTATTAAAATTTTTGTAAACTAGCTCCTCCGACGGCCGCAAGCGGCCGTCTACGGTGCTAGTTTTTATATGTCCATTGTCCAAGTCCATTATTTCATTAATAATAATATTAATTATAATATTCAAATTTTTTCAGTTAAACAATTTGCTTATTTAT